AAATTGTTAAAAAGGAAAAATAACATAGTCTACTTTTTATAAACGATTTGAGAGAAAGAAAAATAAAACAAATATTTTTTCTTCATAAAATTTTTAAAATCTTTTCTTCGAGATAAATATTAAAAATTCAAAGAATTGAATGCTACGAAATGACTGAAATGGAAAAAATTAACAATAAATTGAATTCAATTATTTTAAATACAATTATAATTGGATTCCAGGGAAAATTAAATTATTTCCAAAAGAATTAAATTATTTTAAATCCAATTTTAATAAAATTCTTCTCAAAAATCCACTTATTTTTTAAAATTTTTGCAAAAATTCAATTAATTGTAGAAATAATAAATTGTTTTGCAGGGATTCAATTATTTTAAAAAGTTGGAATAAAATTCTATTCAAGAATTCAATTACTTTTCAGAAATGATTAATTAAATTGTCGATGTACTGAAAATTATTGAATTCTTGTAAAGTATTTATAAAAAAAATTTTGAAAATAATTAAATTCATTTCAAATAGTTTATCAACATTTTTTTCAATAATTGAATTCTTTCGAAGAAAATGTAATTAAAATTATTGTATTAAATATAATTTAATTCTTGGCAAGATTTTGATTAAAATTCTGTAAAATAATTGGATTTATTTGAATTCTCTTGGAAATAAAGGAGTTTTTTAAAACTAATTTTTACTGAATATTTTGAAAGTAATTGAATTTTATGAAGATTTTCTTTTAAGTTTTTTTTTAAATAATCATGTTAATTGTTAATTTTAATTAACGATTTTCCTATTAAATTATATTTAAATTATTCATAGAAAATTAAATTCTTTTAAACAATTTTATTAGAGTTTTGGTAAATAATTACATTTTTTTTCAAGAATTTTATTAAATTTCGTAAAAAAATTTGTAATTTTGTAAAGTAATTTTAATTGAAAATTTTTGCAAGTAATAGAAATTTACAAAGAATTTTATTAAATACTTTTGAGAACAATTGAATTGTTTACAAAAACTTTATTATAGAATTTCTAAAAATAATTGAACTTGTTAGAGAAATTTTATTAAAATTATCTTGAATATAATACAATTTTTTCTCAGAAATTTAATTATAAAATTGTATTGAAAATAATTGAATTTCTCAGAAGAATTTTATTATTTACAAAAATAATTGAATTATTGCCAAGAATTTTACAATTTATAAAAATAATTGAATTGTTTCCAAGAATTTTTTATCAGAATTGTTGAAAATAATTGAATTTAAATAATATTTTTAAATATAATTGTATTTTTTAGAGAAATTTTATTAAAATTGTATTAAGAATAATTGAATTCCTGCGAAACATTTAATTATTTATCAAAATAATTGAATTCCTTTATAGAATTTTATTATTTATTAAAATAATTAAATTCTTGAGGAGGATTTTACAATTCATAAAAATAATTGAATTGTTTCAAAGAATTTAATCTGAATTTTTGAAAATTGTTAAATTTTTTTAAGGAATTTTACTCAATATTTTGAAAATAATCATTTTTTAAAAAAAATTTCATCAAAATTGTTATAAATAATTGAATATATATTAAAATTTTTGAAAATAATCGAATTTACTTAATATTTTTAAAAATAATTGTATTTTTTAGAGAAATTTGATTAAAATTGTAGTGAAAATAATTGAATTGAATTAAAAAAAAAATTTGTTAAACTTAAAAGGGAATAGAAAATTTATATTTAAAATTTGTTTAAATTGCAATTTTACTGGCGCATTTATAGAAAAAGTAAATAAGCAAACATATGTTTTTTATAGAAAATAAAAAATAAAATCTCAAAATAGAGATAAAATTCTAAAATTGGAAATAAACTGAAAACTGAATCAAATAGAAAATTAACCAACTATTTTCAATTATTTGAAATAGAAAGAGAAATTTGAAATAGAAACCAGCTGAATAAATGGAAAAAGAGAAAATTAAAAATTAAAATCAATATTACTTTTGTTCAAAGTATTAAATAATAATTGAATTTTTGTTGTTATTATTATTTTTGCTATTATTATTATTGTTATTCTAACATTAAATAATTAACTTACATTTTGTTAAATTAAAATCCGAGAATCAGTACAAAAAATATTTTTAAAAAATTATACACTAAAATACAAAAATCAAAAATTAAATTAAGTTGGAAGTAAAAAATTGTAACATCCAGAAATAAATAATTAGAAATAAAAACAAGAAAAAAGAAAGAATGGAAAATTTATCTCATTGAATTAATAAAATGTTTTGAACACAAAATGAAACAAAAGAAAGAGAACGCGATATACGAGGAAAAAGAAAATTAAATGTAAAATCGATAGCAGCGTTAGAAAAATGGGAAAAACCGAGAAATAAAATAAATTACAAAATAAAAAGAAAAATTGCAACCACCAAGAGATAAAATGTCGAAGAAGAAGAAGAAAAAAAAATACACAAAATCTACAAACCAAGAGAGAGATATATCATTTTTCTCAAAAGAAATGTTATAAAAAAATGAGAATTCACAAAGAAGAAAATTCACGGATGCACTTCAATAATTAGAGACTATTTAGTAAAAAAAAGAGATAGAAAGAGGAAAAAAAAATTTTTCTCTTTGAATTGAAAGAAGAGTCGTTAATGAGACTATTTTTGTAGAAAATAGAAATAAGAGATATTTATAGAAAAAGGAAAAAAAAAGGAAAAAATAATTTTTTTTCTATCAATTTCGAACGATGACGACGTCGAGAACGACGACGTCGTGCAACGTCAATTTTCTCTGTGAGAAGAGAGGTGGGATGTTGCATAATCATTCACTGCCACCTGCACTCGTTTCATCATAGTCGTAACGGTAGCTCTCTTGTCTTGTTTTACTTTCGCCAATTAAATTTTTTTCCTATTGTTTAACGTTAATATGAAATTCCCGATTATTGAGAGAGGAATTATTCCGCCACAAAATAGTTGAACGCATCGATTAACACAAACCAGAATAGTCGTGGTAGAGTTTTGCGAAAAATTAATTGCGCTTGCGCGTATTCGAAAAACAATATTCCCTTAAAATCTATTTTATCGAAATATTTCATTTTCTAATTTAATTTTTCATTATCAGATAGAAAATAAAATTTTTCTTCTTGCAAAAATTTTCATTTATGTAAGAAAATTTTTCCAAGCAATCGAAGAATCGAATTTGTATTCAATTCATTTTTTATCTAAATAAATTGAAATCTATTGAATTTTCAATTATTATGAGATTATTTTTACTTAAATAAATTAAAATAGTTCAGAGTTGCCACAAAAATTTTATTTTTCCCTGATTTCCAGCCCTAAAGGATATTTTACTTCTCTCTAAAAATAATTAGAGACACAAAAAATTTTGTATTCCATTTATTTTTGAATATCTTTATTTGTAATAATAATTGCTACTGTAACTTATCCAAAATTATTTTCAAGATTTCGAATCAATTATTTTCTCGAATTTTTAATTAAAATTCTTCTCTAATTTAATTGTTTTTATTTTTGAAAAAGTTCCTTAAGAATTCAATTATTTAGGAAAAAAAGTCCATCTAAAATATTTTTGAAATTCACTTGTTTATTTAGTTTCATGAAATTTCAATAATTTGAAAATTTTTCAATCCATAAAATACAAAAAAAGAAAAAAACTACTATTTCAAAGAAATTTGAATAAAAATGTTTCAAAAAACTAAGTTCATCAGAATTTTTAATTAAAATTTTTTTATATTCAACTTTTCTGAAACTTTTTGAAATTCAAATTCTTAATAATATTAGTAATATTAATTTAACATTCTGAAATATAAAAATAGTTATTCTAAACATAAAAATATAAAAATACTCTTTAAATATAAAAAAACTGATTAATATTAATGCAAAATGCGGTTTTTTTAAAACTTATTTTCTAAGAAAAACAGAATTTTATTTATTTTAAAATTTTGTTCTATGTACAATTAAAAAATTAACTTAAATTTATATCACTTTTGTTCTAATTAGTTCAAATTTTTACTAGTTTAAATTTAGAGGATAAGTTTTGTGTTAATGTTATTGCAAAAAAATGTAGAAATTAATTTATTTTCTACAATTTTACGTTAAAGTGTGAAATTTTTTCTATTTAAAAAGCTAAAATTTTTTAATAAATTTTTATATTACATTTTGTGATTTTTGTAATTTTGAATCTGAAATAATTTAATTTTTGAATAATTTAATTTTGAAAGTTATTCAAATTTTTGAAACTAATTTAATTGTTTTGAAGAATTTTATGGAATTTTTATAAAAATAATTAAATTCTTTCACGAAATGTAATTGAAATTGAATTCTCGTAAATAATGTTATTAAAGTTTACACAGTAATTGAATTTCTGCGAAGAATTTTTTTTTTAAATTCATTAAAATAATTAAATTCCTGACAAAAGTTTTATTATTTATGAAGATTATTGAATTCTTTAAAATAATCATATTCCTGCGAACAATTTTGTTACTTTAGAAAATAATTGAATTTTTGCAAAGAATTTTATTAAAATTCATTAAAATAATTAAATTCCTGCAAAGAATTTTGTTATTTATGAAAATAATTGAATTTTTGCAAAGAATATTATTAAAATTCTTTAAAATAATTTCAATCCTACTAATAAAGTTCAATTATTGTTAAAAGTAGAAAAAATTTTTAATTAAATTAAATCTTTTCAGGCTTATGAATTCTGGAAATTGAATATTTTTCCAGTACTTTTGATAAAATTCACTCATTTTTCCCTGAATTCTCCGACCTGTGGCAACCCTGAATAATTCACTCGAATAGAAATTCTCAAAAATAAATAATTATTTATTGAAAAAATAGAAATTCTTTGATAAAAAATATTTTGTTAATTTCAATTTAAAATAGATTTTAGAAAATGTTGACGAATCTCCATTTTTTAGACATAAAATTTAATTTTTTCCCATGATAAGAAATGTACCGATTGATTAAAAAATTATAATAAAAATAGAAATAATAAATTTACCGTGTTTTCTTTTTAGTATTTAAATACTATTTTCGTCATCAAGAGCGAGACCAAACGTTACTGTCTCAAATACTTCCAATTTGACGAAACAATGAAAATTCATTTCAACTGGAGATTAACTAGGCTGCGAAAATTCAACTCAATTGCCACTTGTTTGCTAATGATCACTTTTCTCTCGACTTTCAATTTAACATCAGTTTCCCGAAGTGGATTTGAAACTACTTTTTTAATTATATCTTCCAAATTTTAATTATTCTTGCAAATTTTCAAATCAGTGTCCACTAATTTTCTTTTGGATGGGGAGGTTTTTTTTTTCTTTATAAACACTGTAACAAAAAAAAAGCAAATAAATAGAGCAAAAAAAATTAGCAATTTGGAGAAAAATTCTTTTTTTTCGGCTTATTTATTGAAAAATTAAATTATATTTACAAGTTTGTCAATAAAGGGGATGAAAGGGATGAAAAGATTGAGATTAAGCTCAATTTTTTGGGGAGAGATTCTTTTTGTTTATAGTAGATCATCCCTTATATCTTTTACTTCTTCTCTTTTGTAAAAATTGACGATTTTTCCATGTTTTCCGATTCCTTCCTCGGAGAATTTCTTTGCATCCCGAACACCCTCGTTGAACAGAGGATTTGAGGCGCAGTCTTTTTCGAATTGCAGCGCCTCGTCAATGTGAATTGCGGAAAATGTTGCATGATGAGCCGATAAACGATCAGCGAGTAAAGCTTCTTGTGGATGAAAAGTCAGTTTACTCGCCAAAACGGCAGATTCACCTACGGCTGTAAATAAAAAATCGACAAGTTAATTATTTTTTTTAAATAAATTTTTTAAATACTGACTGAAGAAGCGAATTTGAATACGGAAAAGAAAAAATTGTTTCAAAGAGGTTTTTCCTAAAGAAACAACTTTTTTTAAACAAAGGAAAATTTAATAAAAAAAAATCAATCAAAAATCTGCAAAAAAAAACTATTAAATTGAAAAAAATAATTTTAATTTCTTTACCACATCCACAATTGACAACACGATTGGCGAGACCGAATTGAAAAGCCTCAGTGGCATTAATGAGCCTTCCAGTTAAAATCATATCCATCGCTCGGGAATAACCGATAAGTTTTGGAAGTCTCACAGTTCCTCCACTCATTATGGGAATTCCAAATCTTCTGTTCAGAAAACCAAGTGAAGCTGTCTCGTCAATTAATCTCAAATCACACATCAAGGCAAGTTCAAGACCCACATCAATCGCGAAACCTTCCACGGCCGCAATCAGCGGCTTCTTAATAAGACTGTCTCTACTACTCTGAAAAAAAATATTAATATTTTTAAAATTACTTTTTCTTTTCATAAAAAATAAATTCAATATCTTTAATTTTCACAATTTCTTCAAAATTTTGAAAAAAGAATTTTATTGCACCAAACTCTGGATAATTTATACGTAAAATTAAAAAATTTAAACTATTGATCAAAAATAAAATAGAGAACAAAAAATAGAAAATTAAATAGAAATAAAAGGAACAAAATAAATAAACTAACAATTTTATTATTTATAAAAATAATTTAATTTTTGCAAAGAATGTTACTAGTTTATTAAAATAATTAAATTCTTACAAATGATTTTTAAATATATTTTTAAATAATTTAATTTTTTCGAAAAATGTTATTCAAAATTTAAAAAACTGATTGAATTCCAATTAAAATTTTTTTAAATAATTAAAATTCTTTATAAGAATTTTATCAAAATTCTTTATAATAATCATATTCCTGAGAAGAATTTTATTATTTATGAAAACAATAAATTGAATTCTTGACAAGAATATAATCAAAATTTTTAACATTATATTCATGTAAAAAATTTTGCTATTTATAAAAATAATCAAATTTCTACTAATAATTTTATAATTTATGAAGATAATTGAATTCTCTTCAAGATTATTAAAACCTTTGGTAGTAATTGAATTCCTTGGGAGAATTTCACTATTTATATTAATAATTTAATTTTTAGGAAGAATTTTATTATTTATGGAAATTATTAAATTCTTGTGAAGAATTTTATTAAAATGTTAAAAAATAATAAACAATAATAATTAATTAGTAAATTAGTTAATAATTGAATTGTTTTTAATTTTGAATCTGAAATTATTCAAAAATTGAAGTTGACATTTAAAAATAAAAAGAAAACAAATATAGAAAAATTTTAATTAAAAAATAGAAAATAGTATGAATTTAATTTAGATAAATTACTAATTTTACTTACAAATGTCTTAGTATTTGTCAATAAAATTGGTAATTAAAATAAATTAAATTAAATTAATTTAAATCAAGACTTAAATTTAAAAGTAAGAAAATTAAATTTTAACAATGAAAATTTGTTTTTATTTCAATTAATTTTAATTCATTTAATTTAGAAAATAATTAAAAATATTAAAAAATTTTAATTCATTTAATTTAGAAAATATGTAATTAAAAATATTAAAAATTTTTAATTTAAAACAAAAATTTTCAAGAATTGAAGTAATAATTAATTTTTTTAGAGAAAAATTTTGTAAATTTTACCAGAGAAGAAAATTGTGGCAAAAGATTATCTGATTTCTCATTATGTTTGGCAATTTCATGAAGATCGTAACCAGCGCAAAAATTGCCATTTGTTCCATAAAGAATGCCAACTTTGACTTCTTGATTTGCTTCAAAAGTGTCTAAAGCTTCTGAAAGATATTGTGCAGTCGAAAAGTCAAGACTATTTTTTTTACTCGGACGATTTATGCCAATTGTCATTACTTGATTGTCCACCTCCACTAACACTGTTCTTTCTAAATGAACAAAACAAAAATTCTTTTATTATCACAATAAATAGTCAAAAATAATTGTTTCTAATAAATCAATTAATTCTCCATCTTCTCTTTATGAAAAGAATAAATACGTAGGAAATTTAATTAAAATCAATTACACAAAAGTTAAAAAAAAAACTTGAATTTGAATTTTATTATTTATGAAAATAATTGAATGTTTCGAAATAAATTTTAAATAAAATAAAATAAAATTTATTATTTATGAAAATAATTTCTGCAAAACATTTTGCTGTTTATAAAAATAATTGAATTTTTCCGAAGATTTTATTAAAATTTTTTAAAATAACTAAATTTCTACCAAAATTAAAATTTTTGTTGTCAAAAAATATTATTTACGTATTGTTAACAAATATTAATTAATTTTTATTGATATATTCAATTCTATGTTCTTTTTTATAAATAAAAATTGCGGATATTTTTTTAATTTTTAGGTTAGTTTTTTTACATGCGAAACTTTGAAAAATCAAACTTTTATAAATATTTATACACTAAATGTAGGATAATTTATTTATTATTGTAAAATTAATTATTTTTAGCGTATATAATCTCACCTTCTTCGGGTTTTGAAATCGATACATTAGTGACAACAGGAGCTTCGGTGGTCAAATTTCGTTGTAAATTTTGTTTTAAATGTTTACACAAAACTGTCAATCTTCTTGTAAAAAACATTATTGTATATCTTTATTTAACTTTAATGAACAATCCAAAAGAATCCTTTAATTTACCAACTATTTCTAATCCTTTAAAAAATGATAGGAAAAATATTGTTTTTTGTTTTCACGTGCAAAGGAACAAAAACAGTATAGGTTAGGTTAGATTGATCAACATCAACAGTAGTGCCAATAGCGCAGTAGTGAAATTGACAATCAGTCATACCAACACTTCCGGTCAACTTTGATTTAATTCAAAACAAATTTCTAAAAAAAAACTACCGAGAAAATATTTTTTTAGTAGTTTTTTGAAAATTTAGTAGTTCTTTTTGCAAGTATTTATGTTGTAAAAAGTAGAACTCGTAATAATATAATAATAAAAAACACATATATTTTCCCGCGAAAATAGAATTTTTGAATTACCGGAAATAAATTCTGTCCACATGATCACGTGCTTCTGCTTTGTGTCAACTGTCAAATGTTTATATTCTCATTGTTGTACCGCTGTTAAAATGAGAGAAAATAAAAAAAAATATTATTATAATAAATAAACAATTTTTAAATCGTTATTATTATTTTAAAATGTGCCAGGATATAAAACTCTGAAGTGTTTTTTAGTGAGTGTACATTTTCTAAGTATATATTGACGTCAAAAGGGTCAAAAGTGATTATAGACGTAAAATTTTTTTTAGGTTAGGTTTATGAAAAGAAACTTTATCAACAAAATAAAATGTCTATCTCAACCGTCTCAACAGAATTATCAACATTTCTATATGATTTAAAATATAAAAAAGTCACAGACAAAAAGGTATGTTTTATTTTTATTTAGAGTATTTATTTTAATTATTAAACACATTTTGCGTTTTGTTGTATTAATGTTCCTTGTCAGTGGAAATACCGGTTTTTTTTTCTGCGCAATTACTATACGATATTTATTTTCTACCATATTAATTATATTAATATTCCTTCATTTAATATTTGTAAATATTTTGCAGCTTGCTATCGATAATATTTTAAGTTTCTACGAAAATCCAGATGTCATTAAAGAAATTAGTTACAATACTGTGGAAGATATAGCGGACAATGTTACATGGAATCAAATAATGAGTACAGTTCAGCAGATAATAATTGATGTAAGTGTTAAAAATGTTAACTATTTATTTATTTATGAAAAGTACTGGAAAGATATTCAGTTTCTAAAATGCATAAAAATTATCTTCATAAATAATAAAATTCTTCGCAAGAATTTAATTACAATTTTAAAGACTTTTTACAAAAAATCTATTAAAGAATTCAATAATCTTCATAAATAACAAAATTCTTCGCAGGAATTTAATTATTTTAAAGAATTTTAGTAAAATTCTTTATGAGAATTGAATTATTTTAATAAGTAATAAAATTCTGCGAAGAAATTTAATTATTTAAAAAAATTTTAATAAAATACTTCACAGAAATTCAATTACTTTGAAAAATTTATGAGAATGGAATTCTTTTCCTAAATAGTAAAATTCTTCGCAGAAATTCAATTCTTTTGAAAAACTTTGTATAATTCTTAATAAGAATTCAATTATTTTTTGTAGAATTTTAATAAAATTCTTACCAAGATTAAAATTTTTTTATAATTAATAACATTCCTCGATGGAATCAAATAATTTTAAAAAATTGTAATAAAATTAAATTATTTAAAAAACTGTTCAATTTATTATTTCGAAAAATTTAAATAAAATTCTTTTAAAAATTCTATTATTTAAAAAAGTTTTGACAAAATTCTTTACAAGATTTAGTTAATGAAATTTCAATTTTTATAAAATATTCCTATTCTTCTTAAGAATTCAATTATTTTCACAACTAATACATTTTTGTTATGGGAATTTAAATATCTTCACAAAATTTAATAAAATTCCTGGTGAAATTTCAATTATTTTCAAAAATTTTCCTCATTTCAATTATTTTTAATATATCTATTTTAATAAAATTTTCCAAAAGAATTCAAATATATTCAGAGAATTATTTTGAGAGTTAATCTTTATTACCGGGAAATGACCGTAAATTTTTTTTATGAAAAAAGTGGCAATCATAATTTAAAAAAAATTAAAATGGGAACAGAAATTGTTTTATTTTAAAATTAAGAAATATTCATCTAATTGTTAACATCAATTGTACCAACATTTTTTTATTTTAATTGTAATAATTTTACAACTTTTATTTTATCGTAAAATATTTGAAATGTGTTAACATTCTGTTAATATTGAATTTGGAAATTTTTCAGGAGGGCATGGGAAAATCGGGTCCGAATAGAATTAAAATTTCCGATTTAGCGCAGAGAACGTTCGAGAATTCAAATATGATGCTGACAAAAATGGATTTTTCAACAGTTGTTGCGGAAATATTGGAGAAAGAAACATACGCCTATTGTCATCGAATTTATTTAAAAGCACTGCCAACGTATATTCTTCCCGTTTATGCTTGTCGAGTGAAATTTTCATCGGATAATTGGCAAAATTTATTGCGAGTTTGCGTGAATCTTTATCCAAATCAAACAACATCACAGGGCAAAAGTTTGTTACTAACGACAATTTATTCCATCGTCAATTACTGTTGTTTAGAGTCACACTTGACTTTGGTTTTACCAAAATTTCTCCCTGTATTAGGTAAAAAGAAATTATTTTTTAATCTATTTTAAATTTCTATATTTTTGGTTTTTATTCTTCTTTTCGTATTTTGTAATTATAAATTTTTTTTTCAATTCTAAATTTCTTTTATATTCTAATTTGCCAAGAAAACTTTTTTTTTTAGAGGAAATTTTCAAGAGTGCCAAATCGGATCAAATATTAGCAGATTCTGCATTTCAATTAGCAGCGAAAGTTTGTCAATTAATTGCAATTGATGAACGAAAGGAATTGTGTGATTTTGCCGAAAAAATATTGCCAAACATTGTATTTCTCGAGGGACGAGAGGAAAAATATGTTTTATTTCTTATTTTAATTGAAGTGCACAATCCAAATGGTGTTACTTTCAATGATCCGGTTTTTTACGCTCGAAATCCAAAGGAATGGCGAAATATTCTGGAAAATATGTTTTCAATGATTATGAAGGAAGCGCGAGCGGAAATTTTGTCTCAACCTTTCATTCATTTTGCCACGGCAGGTAAAAAAATGAACAGCAAATTATATTTTTTTTCACAATAAATTAATTTTCTTTTTAAGGTTTTAAATTTTTAAATTAATAAAAATCTAATTCCGTGCTTTGAAGATTAAAAAATAGAAAAAATTATTTAATTTAAATTGTTTTTAATTCAAAATACTTCTTTTATTATTTCATTTTTAATTATAATTCTTATATAATTTTGAATCTAAAAGAATTGAATTCTTATAAAAAAATGTAAGTTTAAGTAAAATTTTAAAATATAAGTTATTTATTACGAGAAATTTAATTAAAATAATAGTAAATTAATAATAATAACAGTTTTTAAATAATTGAATTTTACTACAATTTTGATAAATTATTTAATTCCATCGAGAAATGTTATTAATTATAAAAAAAATTTAAATCTTGTTAAGAATATTTTTAAATTCTACAAAAAATAATTGAATTCTTATTAAGAATTATACAAAATTTTTCAAAAGAATTGAATTTCAGCAAAGAATTTTACTATTTAGGAAAATAATTCAATTCTCATAAATTTTTCAAAGTAATTGAATTTCTGTGAAGCATTTTGTTAAAATTCTTTAAAATAATTAAATTTCTTCGTAGACTTTTATTACTTATTAAAATAATTCAATTCTTGAGAAGAATTTTATTATTTATGAAGATAATTGAATTTATGCAAACAATTTTATTAAAATTCGTTAAAATAATGAAATTTCTTCGAAGAATATTATTATTTATGAAGATACTTGAATACTTGGTAAGAATTTCAATACAATAATTCTAGAAAATAGTTAAATTCCTGCTAAAAATTTTGCTATTTTTGAATTTGAATTTGAATTTTTGAATTTGAATTCCTTAGAAGATTTTTGTCAAAATTCTTTACAATAATTACAATCTAGCGAAGAATTTTGTTTTTTATTAAAATAATTGAATTTTGCAAAGAATATTATTAAAATTTTTAAAAACAATTGATTTTCTGCAAAGAATTTTGTTATTTGTGAAGATAATTTAATTCTTGTGAAATTTTTTAACAAATATTTTTAATAATAATTAATTTCGAGCGAAGAGTTTTTGTTATTTTTGAAAATCATTAAATTTCTTCGAAGAATTTTATTATTTATGAAGATACTTGAATTCTTTAGAAGAATTTTATTAAAATTCTTGAAAATAGTTACAATCTAGCGAAGAATTTTGTTATTTATGAAGATTATTGAATAATTTAGAAGATTTTTCTCAAAATTGTTCAAAATAATTAAATTCCTGCGAAGAATTTTATTATTCATGAAGATAATTGAATTTGTACTAAGAATTGTATAAAAATTCTTTAAAATACATAATTAAATTTCTTCGAAAAATTTTTGTTATTTATGAAGATACTTGAATTCTAAAGAAGATTTTTATTAAAATTTTTTTAAATAATTACAATCCAGCGAAGAATTTTGTTATTTATCAAAAATAATTGAATTTTTGACAAGAGTTTTATTTAAATTTTTAAAAATAATTGAATTCCTGCAAATAATTTTGTGACTTATGAAAATATTTGAAATGTTGAGAACAATTTTATTAAATATTTTTTAAAATAATTGAATTCCTCCAAAAAAAATTCTATAGATTATGAAATTAATTGAAATCTTGACAAGAATTTTATTTAAATTTTCAAAAATAATTGAATTTTTCCAAAGAATCTAATTAATATTGTTTAGAAAATATTCCAATTCTCATAAAGAATTTAATTAAAATTTTTCTAAACAATTGAATTTTTGCAAAGAATTTTTTGTCAAGTTTTTAAAAATAATCGATTTCTTTTGAGAAAGAATTATTTTATTCAAAATAATATTTTATTAATAATAATATTGAATAATATTTTATTTAAAATAATTGAATTCCTCCAAAAAATTTTATTAATAATTTTATTAAAGTTTTTGAAAATATTAAATAATTACAATTAATTAGTAAATTCTTATAGTTAATAATTTAATTTTGTAATTTTTGATCTAAAATTATTCCAAGATTGAAATTTTATTTTTATAATTTTATTTTATAATTAAAATAATTTTTTGTTTCAGTTTTTCGACAAATGAGCAAGCTTCCAACGAACGAACAATTAGCAATTTTAAATACTGAATTCGATGGCGAATACGCGCAACCAACAAAGAAACGTCGCTTAAATATCAATACTGGAATTCTCCTTCACACCATAAATGGAAAGCAGACAAAACTCGCATGGCCAATGATACAAATTTTAGCCAATGTTCTCGAGAAATATCCCGATACATTTGATTTCAATGAATTCATCGAACTACTTCGAATAGTGAAACAAAATTTTGCGAAATTAACCGAAAACAAATATGCCCTCGACAGTTTATGTCAATTAGCAAAAAATTTATTGTCAGTTCATGAAAAATTTGCCAAAAATGATAAAATTGTGGATTTAAAAAATTTCACAAGTGAAATATTGAGTTCGTTACTTCGTTGTTTACCTTCAATTGAAAACGATCAACACGGACATATTTTGATACAATCGTTAATAGTTGGTGGAAATGTGACAAATTACGACACACTTCTTCGTGCATTCGTCACAAGAACAATGAAATGGTCATCGAATAGCGTTCGTACTTTATTTCTACTCTGTCGTCATGTTCCATTGCCAGAGAAAATTACCCAGACGGACAATAAAATTGTATCATTAAAACGTCAAATTATCAAATGGTTGTTAAATATACCGTGGGAGATGAATTTCACCGAATTTCCTCTTTATGAACTCGGCGAAATTCTCTCTTGTTTTCCCCTGAAAACATGGTGTAAAGATTCCGAAGAAAAAGAGGATCTTACAATTTCGATTCAATACGAAATGTGTCTTTTAGACACTGTTCGACAATTATCACTGGACGATATAAATAATTGTCATGTGTCACAAAATTTTCCCGACGATTTATTCTCGAGGGGAGAAAAAAGGGAAAAGGAGAAGAAGACTGATTCAAAATCACCAATATGGCAAAAGGAGGAACTCGAATTTATAATTGGGGAAATTTCCCATTTCCTTCAAGAAGGTGATTTGGATATTTCGTCAATTGGTAAAAAAATACTCAAGTGTACGATAGTCGCGCGAACAATTTCCGCCTTTGAATCAATGAACTTTGAAAATAATTGTCTTGCTCTTCTTTTTGATACACTGGAGGGAGTTTTTAATTTTTTGGAAAGTGTCGATTTCACAAAGCAACGGCTCAAAGATCTGGAGGTGATTCTAAACGCCTTGAGTGTTTTTTTTCAAGTCAGTTATCACGATAAGGTGAGCGAAATAATTCTCTCGAGTATCAGTCAAGAATCACTGAGTTGTATTTACAAAATTTTGACTATCGAACAATTTGCATTTCACGAGAATTCAATGTTTTGTTGTCCGAATATCAACGAGACTTTGGCGGCCGATTTTCCGATTGAATCGTCATTGACGGAACTGCCAAAGGAAGCGATTTTAAAATTAAAAGTTACTAGAACGCTAAAAAATTACGCCTCACTGACGATTGGATCGAAAATGAATGAAATACAACAGGAATTAATGAGGAGTCTAATAGGCAATAATATCAGTGAAATGTCCACGAATATCGATATTAAAATCGCGACACTTATCCTCGAGGTCGTAAATCGTGATTTGGTCCTCGAAGAAGATATTCTTGAATATCTAATCGAATATCTGTTACTTCTCTTCTCGACATTCTACCGAAATTCGAAGATTGTTCGCTACGTTCTGAAAATTCTCCCAATTTTCTACAAGCAAGTAACGAAGATCGGTTTGTTCTCCGAAAAATTTCAATCTATCCTTTTGGAAATCGATCGCAACATTAAAAAGCACTTATATGGTTCTCAAGTTCATTGGGAATTTCTAAAATCAATAAAAAAAATGTTCGAAATTGACGCTACGTTCAAAACTCTCTCGCAGGATATTTCAGTTATTGAACTTATTCTCAACTATGTGGAGAGTCCCTTTTTTTTAGTTCGTCTAGAAACGGCGATGTGTGTCTACAAAATATTCTCCTCTCAACAAATCGATTTCACATGGAAGAGATATTTTTACGAGAAGCTAATGCTAATACTAATCGACGAAACGGAGGAAAATTTACTCCGATCCCTATCAATATTCGCCGCAATTATCAGCGGCAATAATAAATTTCAAAATCGTATTCTTCAAATTTTACTCAAGTTAAAGAACATCCCGATTGAGATGATTAAAAAGTTGTTAAAAATCGGCAAATTTAATCACGATTTTCTCCTTCTCGAATGGTGTTCAAATAAAACGTTCGACACATTTCCCTGGTCAATTATCGACTCTTCGTGTGAATCCAAATTTCCGGATATAATTCACATTCTCCTCATCACAAGGGACAAGAATTTTGATCAAATAAAAGAATACTGCGAAAAGTACCAAATAAATTTCTCCCAGGAATATAGGAAACAATTTCCGAAAATATTCGCATGGCTTTTGTTTTACATCGCCCGAGGGGAAAAATGGGCCGGGGATCTTTTGCAAAAATTGAAGAATATGGATCAGTATGGAATTGAAGAGAATTTCGAAACAATCGGAAAAGAATCTTTCGATCAACTAATTGTGTTTCTTCTGCAAGGTTTCGACGACGAAGAGAATTTCGAACTTATTTTTCAAGTTAGTGTCACGTTTTCCGAATCAATACCAATGAGATTGAAATCGAAGGAAATTGAAACATGTTTCAATTTAGTACAAAATGAACTACTAGATCGAGGGTTAATTAAATATTTACTAAGTGCCGGAGAATTTTTACAAAAAATACTAATGACTCTAACTTGTAATATCTACGAATCTAGGGAATTGAAAGCATTTCACCAGTATGTTTACTTTTCCTCTCTATTACTGGAAGAATTAAAGAAAAATTCTTCGCAGATGGAAAACTTTATAATTCGAGATATTTCTTACACGTTGCTGCATTTAATGAAAACGGAGCTCGTCGATTTCTCCTGTCAGTATTTTCAGAGATTTCTCAAAGAAATCCTCCCGGAAAAATCGGAGAGTGTTAAGGAATTTTTTCCGGTTATTGTCCGAACTCTAACACCGCTAGTCGATCGAAAAACGTCCATTGCCCTAAGTTTACTAAATTTTCTCATCGTCGAACAAACCGGGAATTTTTCGGATTGTATCCAAAAATTGAATTCCTTTCCAAATAATCCCCTCTTTGATGAAATTCGCCAAGTTCACGAGAGTTATAAAACAAAATACACCCTTGCGAATGAAATCAACGATTTTTTGCACTACACGGAGGAAATTAATTTACCGAGTAACGTGAGTTGTCTTTTATTGCTAAAGGGAAAAATTCAAAAGAAGAAAACCGAAGTGAACGAATTGTACAAGAGTTTGGAGAATTTACGTTTCGCCGAAGATTCCGATTCGAGTATTTTACATCAGTTAATTTATCGTCTAGTGAAATTGACCGAATCTTCAGATTTAAATGTCTCCCAGGAAGCTGTCAAATGCCTCGGAATATTGGGTCCAGGCGATTTAACGACAATGATTCTCCATCAAGAGAAAATGGAAATTCGTGAATCGAACGATCGATTTGAAACTCTAACTTACAAGATATTAATATTCCTCTCGAATCACATAATCGACGAGAATATTGAATTGAGAAAATCTTCCACAACTGCACTTTATTCGGTAGTGAATTCACCATGGGGGACAAAATTAATGAACGGGAAATATCGAGCGACTTTCGAGAATAATTTACACCAAAAAGAAATACGACTTTGCGTTGAACGAATCCAACCGTTTATTATCGTCAATAAATCGAAAAATCGTCTTGCAATTGAGAGAGGAAAATTTCGTAGATTAACAAATTTGGACAATCATCTGTGGAATGATCAAGTGAATATTTCCTATTTCGACTGGATTTCTGAATTAACCTGTTCAATTGCGGAGATATTCACGAATTTTTATTTGGAAAATTTAATACCAATATTTCGTGTTAATTTACAATTTTGCGAGGAAATATTGTATCGTGTCGTTAATATTATAATACGTGACGATGCAACGTTAGCCTATGATTTTTGTAATTGTATCAATCAATTTTTTCGCTCTAATTCAAAAATGGAGAAATTTCGTAATCACGATTCAATAAGATATATGTTGAATTTGGTGAATTTTTTGAGAATACAAGACGATGATGTGATTGCATTGAAATTTGATTATTTACCAATTGCTAAGGCGGCACAATTATGTTCGGCGTATTTCACATCAATAATGTACGTTGAATTGTGGTGTGAGAATTTTTTAAATGGTAAACGTGAAATTGAAAGTTCACTGTTAATTGATAGAATTTATCATCAAGATCCAATTCAGGGGAAAATTGTCAAGGATATTATTCGTGATGCGAGTTTAAAAATTGGTGATCCAGACGCTGTTTTTGGTTGTGGAACTTATCATCTTAAAGATCGTGAGGCAAGATTGCAATATTTCGCTGATCTTCAACAATGGGATCAAATGGTAGTTCTACAGGATTCAAAATTAACGAATGGCTATGATTCACTTAGTGGTGAGACAAAAATTAATTAAACTTTATTTTACAGTTGAAAGCATAATTTAATTTTGCAAATTTTAATGAAATTTTCGAAAGTAATTGAATTTTTCAAAAGACTTTCGTAACTTATGAAAATAATACAAATCAAGGCGACGAATTTTGATTAAAATTTTCGCAAATAATTGAATTGTTCCCATAAGTTTGATTAAAATTATTGAAAATAATTAAATTCTTTCAAGAGATTTTATTTTTGAAAATAATTAAATTATTAGCAGGAATTAAAAATTTTTAAAAAATAACTCAATTTCATCCAATAAATTTTATTGAAATTGTATTCAAAATAATTAAATTTCTCTAAATTTTATTATTTCCGAAAAAAAATTAAATTCTTGCCACAAATTTGATTTTTTTTTCGCAGGAAATTGAATTATTTTCATTTTGATAAATTTCTTTACAAAATTTCAATTATTTTTTATTCAAAATTATAAAAGAAATTAATAAGAATTTATGTAAAAGAAGCTTTTTTATTTCAAAACAGTTTGGTTTATTTAATTTTTTTTTTAATCTTCAAAGCATTAAATTAAAATTTCAATATTATAAAATATTAAACAGAAAAATTATCAAAAAAATATATTTAAAAACCGAAGATTAATTCTAGAAATTCTAATAAAAATGAAAGTAAATTAATAATAAATAAATTATTAATAAAATTAATAATCAATAAATAAAAATAATCTAATAATTAAAATAATTTTCAGGAATGATGAGCGCCTTGGAAAATTCCGGTTGTCAATATCTTTTGGGACAATTTATAAAAACTACGAATAAAGGTGAAGAATCGTCTGAAATTGATGATTTTCATTACGAATGCGCTTGGCGACTCGCCAACTGGAATTGTGTGACATTGAAAAAAAATTGCGAAAATTCAGAAAATTCCAGCGACTTTAATGTCGATAGGGAAAATTTTTCCTTTCATCACTACAAGTGTTTGAAATCATTTCACGAAGACGATTTTCTCGTATTAAAATCATCACTCGAATCTGCACGATCAATTATTATTAAAGATCTACGAAACATCAGTTCTGGTAAATAAGAAAGCTAACATTTTATTTTAAGAAATATTTTTTTATGTCTAGGTATTATTATTATTCTCTAATAACCAATAATATTTGAATTCTAATAATTTGTTATTTTATTGATTTATTTTTTCTTTTTTTCAGAAAGTTGTAAAGCCGTTTATCCGAGTTTAACAAAATTGCGAATGCTCCAGGAAATTGAGGATCTAAGTTCAGTCGAATCGCAAAATTACGAGTTAATAATTTCCGACTGGAAATCACAGGATTATATTCGACAAAGTGAATTTCAATATATTGAACCACTACTCTGGCAACGAAGTGTCTTGTGTAAAATACAAGACAACTTTAAAACAATTCCCATTCTAAAGGAATCTCTCATTGAATTTTATTTGGAAATTGCTGAAATTGCATCGAAACAGGGATTTCTGAAGGAAGCCGCACGTTCATTGGGTAAGAAATTAAAATACAAAACAAAAATAATATGAATAATTTAGGTAGAAAAAAAATGCAAATTAAAAACAAAAGACAAATTTTTCAGGCACTTTGGCGAAAGAAGAAGGACTCTCGTGTGAAATTCGTGATCAATTACACTATCAGGAATCATTGCTGGCTTGGATGAATAAGGACGAAGGATTGGCGCGTTCGCTATTGAGAAATTTACTAAATCAGACGAAAAATAATTATCGTCTTCACGCGGAATCGTTGCGTGTTTATGGAAATTGGATGGCAGAGACGCAATCCGGTAATCGGCAAACAATTTTAAAGAAATATTTAGAGGCAATAAAGATATTTATGAAAATTGATGAACCATCATCGCAAGACTTGAGGAATTTGAATAAAACACAAGCGGCATTGGCACGTTTCGCTGACGTTCATTATCGACAATTAAAGGATTACATGCAGTCCAGTGATTTTGATAGTATGAGAAAAATGGCCGAAATGTCCTTAGATTCGCATAGAAACGAATTGGCTTATCAGGATCGCGATGTGAGAATTGCATTCGCAAAAAATAAACGACAAACCGTAATTGACGCATTATCACTCGAGGAGACGGAGAAGGAGAAAAATTATTATCTCACCATGGCATTGCAGTGAGTATCTTTTTTTTCTATCGATTCATTTTCTATTGATCTGTTTATATAGAATATGGTTGCCACAGGTCAGGGAATTCAGGGAAAAGTCAGGGATTTTTATTAAAAGTACTGGAAAAAATTAAGTTTTTACAATTATTACTTAGAAATTATTTAATGAATAATAATTTTACTTAAAAATTCAAAATTAATTGGATTTCAAAAGAGTTGCTTTTACAATCTTCATATAAATAGATAAACTTCAAAAATTTCAATTTGAAATTTTAGAAAATTTCAATATTTTTAATAAATTTAAATAGAAATTTTAAGAACAACTGATTACAGAAATTCAATTATTTTCAAAAGTGATAAACTTCTTCGCATAAATTCAATTATGTTCAAAAATTAAAAAAAACTTCTCGTCAAAATTTAAATTTTGATTATAAATAATAAAATTCTTTTCCTAAATTCAATTATTTTTCAAAACTTTCCTCAATTCAATGATTTTTTATATATCTACTATTTTAAAAAAATTTTCCAAATGAATTCAATTATTTAAACAAAATTTTAATAAAAATTTCACAGGAATTCAATTACTTACCAATTTTTTATAAATTTCATGGAACCAATTCAATTATTTTTAATTTTTTGATGAAGTTTCTCGAAAAAATTCTAATATATTTAGAGAATTGAAAAAAATAGTTCTGAAAAATTCAATTATTTCGAAAAATTGAAAAAAAATTCTTTTAAAAATTGTATTATTTAAAAAATTTTGAGAAAACTTTTTACAAGATTGAGTTAATAAAATTGCAATTTTAAATTGCAATTTTAATAAAATTTTTCTATACAATTCAATTATTTTTAAAACAATTCTTCGTAAGAATTCAATTATTTTCACAGATAATACATTTTTTTATGGGAATTCAATTATTTAAAAAAATTATAATAAAATTCCTGGCAAAATTTCAATTGTTTTTAAATATTTTTCCTCATTTCAATTATTTTTAATATCTATTTTAATAAAATTTTCCAAAAGAATTCAAATATTTAAACAACATTTTAATAAAAATTTCACACGAATTCAATTACTTATCATTTTTTTTTAAATTTCTTCGCACCAATTCAATTATTTTTAATTTTTTAATGAAGTTTCTTGAAAGAATTCAAATATATTCAGAGAATTGAAAAAAATAGTTCTGAGAAATTCAATTATTTCGAAAAATTTAAATAAAATTCTTTTAGAAATTCTATTATTTTATAAAATTTTGACAAAATTATTTACAAGATTTAGGTAATAAAATTGCAATTTTAATAAAATTTTCCTATACAATTCAATAAGAATTATTTATTAATTCCTATAAGAATTCAATTATTTTCACAAATAATACATTTTTTTATGGGAATTCAATTATTTAAAACAATTTGAATAAAATGCTTCGCAAGTAATCAATTATTTTCATAAATAATAAAATTTTTCTCTAGAATTCAATTATTTTAAAAAAAATTTAATAAAATTTTTCGTCAGATTTCAATTATTTTCAATTCTTTAATGAATTTTCTCGATGGAATTTGAATTATTTTTAAAAAGTTTTAAATAATTCTGAGAAATTCAATTATTTAAAAAATTTTAAATAAAATTCGTTGCAAAAATTCAATTATTTTCATAAATAACAAAACTTTTATCGCAGAATTTCAATTATTTTTCATACATTTTTAAATAAAATGATAGAAAATTGCATTTATTCTTGAAATTTCTTTTAAAATTCTCCGAAAGAATTCAATTATTTTTAAAATTTTTTATAAAATTCTTGATAAAAATTCAATTTTAAGATGTATTCAATTATTTAATAAATTATTTATTTTTGTATTTAAATAATTGAATTTTCGTAGAATTTTCTAATAAAAATTTATTTCAAAATGAATTTCGATTGAAATTTGAGATATAATTGAATATTAAGAGCATTATAGCGTGAATTTTTGAAAATAATTGAATTTTGAGAAGGTTTTAAATTAAAATTTTTGAAAATCTGAATTTTTTGTACTTTTAACTAACAATTGTGTAGAATTAATATTTTTGAAAAAGTTTTATGGAATTTTTTAAAAATTATTTCAAGTTTTTATTTTTTAATATCTATTTAATTATGAAGAATTTCCGAATAATCGAAATTTCGTAAAATTGTAACAATATTTTTATATAAAATAATAATTTTATCACTGGGTTATTTTTATAATAATATTCTTATTGGTTGTTGAATTTCAAAAAGGTTTGAATTTGACTCTTTTGAAGAATTTTAATTCGTATGAAAAAATAATAATGATTAAATATTTATTTAAAAAAGAAGTTATTGATGTTTTTGAATAATTTGACTTTTGAAGAAATTTGTAAATAAATGTAATAGAAATTTTTTATGAGTATCTAATAATTTTTGGAGTGAATCAGAATATTATTCAGAGTCAGGGAAAAAGTCAAAATTTTATCTGCAAATCAGGGAAAAACAAAATTCAATTTTTGTCACAACTCTGTAGAATTTTTATTAATACACTTTCTTTTTACGCAGATTTTACGTGAAAACTTTACGTCAAAGCGAGGAGCATAATTTCATTATTTTCCGTGTTGTTTCATTGTGGCTTGACAATATTGCTCTAACGAAAGTAAATGAAATTTTAGACGAATATTTACCGACAATTGCGAGTTATAAATTCATTCAAATGCTACCGCAATTGGCTGCACACATGAGTGATGAGGATGATGAATTTTCAATGAAAATAAATAATATTTTGGAAAGATGCGCTCTCGATCATCCATTTCATTCGTTGCCAGTTCTATTGGCATTGAAACATTTATATGAGGATACAAAATTCACGTCCAATGGTACAAAGCACAATAAAATTGAGGCGAGAGTTGTTGGCGCAATGAAATTAATTCAAAAACTTTCGAAATCGAATAAAATTAGTGGAATTGTCCGCGAAATGGAACAATTGGCACTCGCTTTGGTTCAATTGGCTTATGTCGAAACTCCCCGCGCAACTCGTGAGTATTTTTTTTTCTTCTTAAAGCGAGAAATAAATAATCTTTCAACAATTTTACAATTATTTCAAGTAAGAATTTTATCAAAATTTTTAAAAATACATAATTGAATTTCTTCGAAAGAATTTTGTTACTAGTGAAAATAAATGAATTCTTGCAAAGAATTTCATTACATATTTTTGAATATAGTTTAATTTAATTTCTAATTTGAGCAGGAAGAAATGAACGAAAACAGCAGAAATTTTTAATAAAAAAAATTTTTTGACAATTTTCACAGAAAAATGCAATATTCCTCGAAATCAAGATATTTTAAAAGTGAAAAATTTTGAAAATGCAATTGTACCCACCATCACAATGGATGTGAGGCCGAATAAAAATTACGAGGACGTAATTGGTGTTAGTAAATATTTAAATACCTTTGAATACGTCGGAGGAATAAATGCACCGAAGAAAATAATTTGCGTTGGAACTGACGGAATCGAAAGGATACAATTAGTGAAAGTAGGAATATTTTTTTAATTATTGAATATGCGAGTTTTTTCTTCCTTAATCAAATTTTTGTTTAAAATATTTTGTTCCTCTATTTTTTCGCAGGGTAAAGATGATCTTAGACAGGATGCCGTTATGCAACAAGTATTTTCCGTCATGAATTTATTGCTAAAAGCGAGAAAGGAAACGAAACAACGAAAATTAGTTGTCAGAACTTACAAGGTTTCAATATTTTTATTTTCTATTTAAATATTTTATTATTTATGTAAAATAATTTGTTATATTTCTAATTTCTTATTTATTTATTTATCTTAATTCATTCTTTTCAAAATTTATCAATTTTTTTGTAATAAGAAATACAAAATTATTAAAAAATTGCAAAACAGTAACTAAATATTTTTTGGTACAATTTTTTAATTGTTTGCCTCTTTTTTTAAGACAACAAAGAAAAATTTTTTAAATTAAAAAATTGATAATTTATCATTTTGTAGGTGGTTCCGTTAACTCAAAGATCGGGCATTTTAGAATGGTGCGAAAATACTAAGCCAATTCAAGAAATTCTGATCGGTACGAATAAAAGCATTGGAATTCACAAAAAATATTATCCGAACGATTATTCTGTGGCAAAATGTCGAGCAATAATGGAAGTGAGTCTTAAAAAAAAGTACTTTATCATTAAAAAGTATAAAATATAATAAAATTAGAGTTTTTAAAGTATTTTGTTGTTTTTTGACAGAATTTTTTTTTTGTGAATAAATTGATGATTATTTTTTTTTTTTGAAGGGATCATTGAAGCGATCGAATGATTTTAGACTACAGGCGTATATGAATTGCTGTAAAAACATGACGCCTGCTTTCCATCATTTTTTCATAGAAACTTATTTGTCACCCGAGACTTGGTTCGAGAGACGACTCGCTTATACGCGAAGGTAAAATATTTCTTCTTTTTTTAAACAGATAATTTTAATTAATTTAAATAATTGAATTAAAAAAATTAATTTCAGTGTTGCCGTCACTTCTATCGTTGGCTACATCCTTGGCATTGGTGATCGACATTTATGTAATATTCTTCTCGATAAAATAACAGCGGAAGTTATTCACATTGATTTCGGTAATTTTCCTTTCAATTTAAATTAATAGTATAGCTATTCTTTCTATATTAATAATCGTTGTATTCCGGTAATCTGTTCGCAATTTGAATTTAGTTGTTTTTGTTTGCTTTTTTTTACCTAATTTTTTTACAGGTAATTTTTCTTTTTTCTTTTTTGAATATTAAAATCAATCAAATTCTCATTAAATGCTTTAAAGATTAAAAAATAATAAAAATTAAATATGAACTAAATTGTTTTCAATTAAAAATATTTCTTTTATAATTTTGCTTCTGAAATAATTGAATTCTTATTAAGAAATACATCCAAATTTTCCAAAATAATTAAATTTCTTGCCAAAAATTTAATTATTTTAAAAATAAGTCAACTTTTACTGCAAAAAATGTTGTTAATTATGTGAAAATAATTTAATTTTTGCAAAGAATTATATTATAAATTTTCGAAAATAATTTAATTTCTGCAATAAATTTTACTACTTAGGGAAAAAAATTAAATATTTTCGAAGTATTTAATTAAATTCTTTTTTTTACAAGGAATTTGATTAAAATTCTTTAAAATAATAAAATCTTTGCTAAGAATTTTATTTAAATTAATATTAAAATAATTCAATTCCAGCGAAGAATTTTGCTATTTATGAAAGTAATTGAATTTTCTTGACAACAATTTTGTTTAAATTGTTAAAATACTTAAATTCCTGCAAAGAATTTTGTTATTTATGTAAATAATTGAATTTTTGCAAGAATTTTATAATAATTGTTGAAAATAATTTAATTTTTTGGTTAAATTTTATTATTTATGAAGATAATTAAATTCTTGCCAAGAATGTTATAAAATTTTTTGAAAATAATTGAATACCTGATAAAAGTTTTGTAATTTATGAAAAAAATTGAATTCTTGTAAATAATTTTATCAAAATTCTTTAAACTAATTAAATTCCTGCGAAAAATTTTATAAATTATGATAATAATTAAAATTTTGTTCTGAATTTTATTAAAATTTTAGAATTAATTGAATTTTTCGTAGAATTTAATTAAAATTGTATTGAAAATTTATTCCAATTCTCATAAAGAATTTAATTACATTTTTTCAAAATAATTAAATTTTTGCTAAGAATTTAAATTAAATAATTAAATTCTTTAGAAGAATTTCTTTTTAAACTGAACAAAGAATTTTTCAAATATGTTAAGAGAATTGTGTCTGTTAATAATGGTAATTAAAAACTTGTAATTATTGTATTTTATTAAAATTGTATTGAAATATTGAAAATAATTGAATTCCTAGGAAGTCTTTTATTATTTATAAAAATAATTGAATTCATGAGAAGAATTTTATTAAAATTTTAGAAAATAATTGAATTCTATCGAAAAATTTTAAAATCTTATTCAATCCTTTCATGAAATTTTATTAAAATTATTTTGAAAATATTTGAATTCCAATAAAGATTTTTATTATTTATAAAATTAATTGAATTCTTCCAAGTTCCAACGAAGATTGAATTCTTCTAGTTAATTAATAATTTAATATTAAAAAAAAATACTTAACTTTCTTGAAGAAAATAACAAATTTTTTTTTTTGCTTTTTCCTAGGAATTGCGTTTGAGCAAGGAAAAGTGTTACCTGTACCGGAATTAATTCCATTTCGATTAACGCGTGATATTGAAGTGGCAATGGGAATATCGGGAGTCGAGGGCGTAATGAGACGATGCTGCGAGCAAACAATGAAAGTTCTTCGCGAACAAAAGGAAGTTATTGTAACTCTTCTTCAAGTTCTTCTTTACGATCCCCTATTCACTTGGGCGATAACACCATCATCAATGTGCCGAAGCAGCAATTCAATCCAATTGCTTGAAACTGGTAATTAAAAGTTTGAAAACTAATTCAAAATTAACAAAAAAGGTTTTCTTTAATTTTAATAATCTCTGAATAGTTTTAGTTCAAAAAAAGAAATTGTACTTGTCAAATTTCGCTTGTTTTTCTTAAATTATTAAATAATTAATAGAAACTAATTTAATTAACAGAAACTAATTTAATTAACAGTAATTCATTTAGTATTTAATTCTTAAATTGAAACATACTTCCATTGACAATTTTAGATTAATTAATAAATTTTAACTAATTTTAGATTTGGAGATAAATAAAATTGCCGAAAGGGCTTTGGTACGAGTGCAACAAAAATTAACAGGAATGGAAGAAGCAGTTCCCTCAAGTATCGAGGGACAAATTGAAAGACTCATCCAACAGGCAAGAGATCCATCGCTATTAAGTCGATTATATTTTGGATGGCAAGCTTATCTGTGATCTAATTTTACCCGTGAAAAAAAACAAACGAAAATCAAAATGAATCAAAACAGTGATTTTGTTCGAAAGCTTTAGTATTCTACAATTCTATTTTTTGACAGTATTACATAAAAAAAAATGCTCTCTTTCTAATATTAGAGATTCTCTTCTCTAATATACAATTTTTTTTTTAAATAAAAGATAAAAAAAAACAATTTTTCTACCATTTTTGTAAAAGTGTAAGTAAAAAACTTCATGAAGTTGATAAAAATAATTTATTACCTAAAAATAAAATATTTTTTAATATAAATATAAGTTTCTATTTTTATGTTTTCCAACTGAGAAAACTGTCCTGAATGATAATTTGCTTAAAAATACTATCGGGATTTGATTGTAACATTCTTCGATTGCGTAATGCTTCTAAAATGTAAGAAACTTTTTCTCTCGCCTCACCTTTTGGTATATCGCCCCTCAAACTTAATAATCTCACCAATTGATCTTCACTCATATCGGGATATTTTTCCACCAATGAATGAAGATCGAGTGACAATATTTCCGAATCCTCGCAACGCAATACTTCGGCTAAACGTTTTATTATTTCAAACGGCGAATCAAAATTACCAACTTTCGGCGCAATTCGCGAGAAGAAATTCTTTAATTTATCCGCCTCGGCCATTATTTTCGATGTGCAATTTAAACATTCGTCATAATTTTTCAACGATATTTTCCTTTGTAACATTGCCGAAATATAACGTTTTGCTATTAATTTCTGTGCCTCGGTTATCACATAATCGAAATTCTTCGGTCGCAAATGATTGTAGTCCTGTGAAAAAAGAAAAAAACAGATAAAGATTAAAAAATCTTTTAAAAAAAATTAAAAGAAAGAAAAGGTAAATCTTTACAAAAAAAAAATTAAAAAAAGGATTAAAGAAAATAATTTGCAATTTTACCTGAAAATAATCCTCGAGAGTAACGCAAATTGTTTCAACGGGTATTGGCGACGAGAGCCATTTTGGTGTGAGTAGATCGTGAAAATGTAATTCCAAATCGAGAAATGATTCCTCGAGTAAAATTGCCGCTGCATCATTTCGAATTCTTTGATAATTATCCAATAGTGTCTCAAATTTGCGCGCAATTTCACCACTTGCATTTGGCAGCCAATAAAGTTGTTTCATTTGTTGTGCGAGTTCAATGAATTGCAAACAATTATTCACTACGGTAATCATGTGATGAGTAAAATATGGAACACGACTACGATCATCGAAATGTCTCAATTTAAATTCAGTTATTGCCTTTGAATAAATATCCGCATATTTTGTCACTTGTTCAATGCACAATTGGAGAGCCTTTGAAGTTAAATCCTGACTGATCGTTTTTGTCACCTAAAAAAAGAGGGAAAAACAATTTTTCATTTCAAAATCAAGAAGAAAAAAAAATAAAAAAAATGGAAAATGTGGGGATCAAAGTATTTTTGTCCCTTAAATAAGGTGAAAAAATGAATTATTTTCTCAAAATTAGTGACTTATTATAAATTAGTGATTATAAGAATTATAATTACAAACACAATTAAATTTAATTATTATTGAAACTTTTTTATAAAATTGTTCGCAAAAGTACAATTATTTTCATAAATACTAAAATTCTTTGCAGGATTTTAATTAATTTCAAAAATATTTTATGAAATTCTTTGAAAGTATTTAATTATTTTCATAAATGACTAAATTCTTCGAAGAAATTTAATTATTATTAAAACTTTTTTATTCAATTGTTTGTAAGAATTCAATTATTTTCATAAATAACAAAGTTCTTCGAAGAATTTTAATTATTATTACAATTTTTAATAAAATTATTCGCAAGAATTCAATTATTTTCATAAATAACAAAATTCTTTGCAGGAATTCAGTATTTTAAAAATTAAAATAAAATTCTTGTCGAGAATTCATTTATTTTCATAATCAAATTTTAATAAAATTTCTTTAAAAAATTCAATTATTTTAAATGCAGAATATGTTTAAAAAAATAATTCACGAAACAATTGTCAATTCATCAGCAAGTCATCTCAGTAGCTTAAAAACTAGTTTGGATTAAATATATGATAAGTTAACAAAATCGGTGAAATAGGTGAAAATTAACAACAAAATAGGTGAAATAGGTGAGAAAATTTAAAAGGTAAAAAAAAGTGACGGTCTGTGATCAATGAAAAAAAAGTACTACTACTAAAAGAAAAATACCTGTAAATTTTGATCGATCATTTGAAAAATAATAACAGGTGCTGCAGTATGATAGTAAGTATCCTGTGTACTACTATCAGGTAATATTCCACTCCACCAATCAACTTTTTCCGTTTCCAATGTCTTCTTCATCCACTCTTCATAATTCTGATACATATTACGCAAATATTTCTCTTGCAAATCGTCCACCATCTCCTTATTCAACAACGGACCAATTTCACTCGTATCGATATTCAATTCAGAATGTTTCATTAAATCCGCACCAGTGTAGGTATTCATTATCCAAGCGAGCACTGAAACGTATTCATTGCCCTCGAGACCGCTGGCAATAATATCCATCAAGTGTTGCGATAAACTTGTGTGATACATTTTCACAAATTTATTGACAATATCGTAGGAGGGTGGAAAGCAAGGTCCACATAGAGTTTTAACAACACGAAGATCCTCGAGAATTAGAAGACGTGTTAATTCCAAATAACGAACAAGCCACATTTTATTGTCAGCTCGCTCATCGACTTGCGTTCCTTCAATTCGATTTGCCACTGATTTTTCCAATGTTGCAATTGCCATTTCCTTCCATTTTTTCGGACGTCCCGGTGGCATGAAACCCGATTGTCGATGACGTTGTACGGCAAAATGATCAGCTTTTTCCTCGCGTTCAACAATTCTAAGGGCTGTGACAATTACCGTTGGTTCTTTTCTCACTGTATTTAATGTTCGACTCAAAACTAAACGTATTTGTTTCTCCATTAATTGCGAGAGTTTCTCCACGTCCTCGAAATAGGCCTTCAACATTACCGTGTCAGGCATCGATTGATTTGGAAGTTTGTGCAGTTCATAGAGCAAATCATCCCTAAAAGAATTCATAATATTAAAAATTATTATTCCTTTTAATTATTAATTCTTCTTTTTGTAAATAATATACTAATATTATTATTTTAATATTTATATTAATATTTTTAATATTATTATTTATATCTTAAAGAAATCAACCTAAAACAGGATTGCGACAAAAATTTAATTTTGTAATTCCCTCACTTTTCCCTGATTTTCAAACAAAATTTTGACTATGTATTCCCTGACCATGAAGAATATTCTGATTCACTCTAAAAATTATTAGATACTCAAAAAAATGTTTTATTACATTTATTTACGAATTTCTTTAATTGTAAAATTATTCGATTTCATCAATAACTTCTTTTTTAAATAAATATTTCATCCTTAATATTTTTCCATACGAATTACAATTTTTCAAAACATTCAAATTCAAAACAAAAATTCTTCGACTCGGAGTGATCAATTTCTTCATGATTTATAATAATTAAGGATGACCAAATGATAAAATCATTATTTTATATTACAAGTTACTGTAACTTCTTCAAAATTATTTCCATCATTTCAATTCAATTATTATTTTCTAGAATTTTTAACTAAAATTCTTCTTTAAATCAATTAGTTTTAATAATTTTTGAAAAAGTTCTATGAGAATTTTCAAATCAATATTTGCTTACAATTGAATTTATAAAATTTCGATTATTTGGACATTCTTCAATTAAATATATTTTAGAAAATAAAAAACTTCAAATAATTTTAAAAAAATTCAATTAAACTATTTCAAAAACACTAATTCTACAAAATTTCGCCAAGAATTTTATTAAAATTTGTCAAAATAATTCATTTTCGGAGAATAATTTTATTATTTATACAGATAATTGAAATTTTGAAGAGAATTTTCTTTAATTTCTTAACCTAATTGATTTTTTGCGAAGAATTTTATTAGTTTTTGAAAATAATTGAATTTCTGCAATCATTTGTAACTTCTCCAAAATTCAATTTTTTCTTTAGTGTTTTTAACTTAAATTCTTCTATAAATCCATTATTTTTAATAATTAATTAAATTTAAAAAAAAAATGGAACTAATTTCTGAAGAATTTGATTTATTAAATTTTTTTAAAAATCTGTTCTTTAAAATTTCTAAATAAATTCATTCAAAATTGAAACTTTATAAAATTTTAAATTTAAACCTTTTGAAGTTCATCTATTTATGATATTTGTAAACGCAACTCTTTTAAAATTTAATTAGTTTTGAAATATTTAAGTAAAATTATTCATTAAATAATTTCTAAAAATAAAATTATCTAAATAATTTTATGATAGTTGTTCAAGAATTAAGTTATTTGAAAAAAAAATTGTTGTCAGAAATAGAAAAATTTGAAGGTTTTCTATTAGAATTCGTGGTAATTTGACAGTTTAGACGAAAATTCAGAATTTTCTTATAAACTCTAAAAATTCAATTTTTTCCAGTACTTTTAATAATAATCGCTGACTTTTCCCTGTTTTCTTTGACCAATTATACTTTCCCTGATTTTTCCCTGAATTTTCTGACCTGTAGCAATCCTGTAAAAATTCTTATTAAAAAATAATTACCTTGAATTTTCAAGATCCATTAAACATTGATGTGCGTGAAGAAGTTTCCCCTCATTGATCCATTGTTTAGTTTTTTCAACACTCTCAGGAACGGTGAAAATGTGTTTTAAATTTTCTTTTGCAGTGACATATTGTGAATGTCGCATACTTTCGTCTTGAACGGCCTGTAATTTTGCATGTAATTCAGGTGCAGTGCCAAATGATTCGCCAATTGTTAATAATTCTTGTTTTATTGCGTAAACACTTTGCAATGAACTTTGTAATTGATCGAAACCAACGCGAACACCATCGAGTTGACTTTGCATTGCCGTTTTTAACATTGTCTCAACAGAGGCCTTCTTTCGATTAATTCTTCGTTTATATTGTTCAACTTTTTCCAATTGATCAGGTCTTTGAAGCATATTAACCACTTGCTTTGTCGCCGTTGCCCTCGCTTCCTCCTCAAGTTTTTGTAAATCGTACATTTTCCCAATATTTCCCCTAAGAATAAAAAATTGTTGATAATTAATAATTGACCGTTAAAGTCGATCGACTTTAAGACGTTAATTAAATTTAAAAAGTCACTTTAGTCGATTAAAAATAGGACTAAAAAAGTAGAAAAAGTCGTTTATTTAATTGCGTTGGCATATAAATTTTATTTTTTATTTTTCTGGCCTTTCACTGATTTCTAAATTCAATTATTCATCTTGAATAATTTTGTTAAATATTTAAATATTTTTTTGTTTATCCACGGGAAATAATATTAAAGGAAAAAATATTTTAAATAAAAACATTACGTTCATAATTACATAATTAATTATAAAACGAAAATAGAAATGTAATAAAGCGAAAACAGTATAATTAAAATTGTGTCAATATTCTATATTGTTTGTTTATGAAATAATTGTTGTTTTAATAATAATAATAAAAAATTAATGAATTATTTAAAGTATATAGAAGAAAATTATTTTGGAGAAAAATTATACTAACCTCTTTAGCGTTTATAATAAAACATGAATAATCAGTAACAATTCAATAAAATACTATACAATAACAACTTTCTATATTAATAACAATAAATAACTGTAGATTATGGAATATTTTCAAATAAACATATTTTTAATTAGTATTATTCAATATCATAACAAATTTTTGACGTTTCTGACAGATTGAATTTGTAGGTTAGAATCCACTTAAAGTTTTCAGCGCCCTCTAAAAAATAACAACGAACTAGAAATGCCGCCGACTTTTAAATTCGGGTGCAATTACCATTTTATTTATTTCCTTTTATAATTACCTTTATTATTAATTATTATTAATGTTTAAACAACAAAAAATATTAATAATCGTTTTTTCTTTCTTTTATTAATAATTATTATTAATAATCTTTCTTTCAAAATTAATTTAACTTTCCTTATCCGGAAACTCTGCCTACCCAACCCTTATAAATAAATAAATGAGTTTCCAGTCTATATTGTTTATTCATTGGTCTTCGTCTTGGCGCTTAATTCTCTTTTCTTGCCGTTTGCATTATTGCTTGTTTAATCCTGTTTCGTCTGTCCTCGTGTTTGAACTTCTGTGATACTTTTCTCTAAAAGTAGTATGCAAAATATCATCGAATAAGTAAGTATCTATGTTTAAAACTTTTAATTAATCAATTTTATATTTACAATCTATTTACCAAGCTCTTAATTTTTTTTCTAATATTCAACACGTGGTCGTATTCATTTTAGAAGTTAGAAATTAATCGTGATTCAAATATTTTGAATAGACAGCACAAAATTTATGACTCATTTGTTTACTTATTATGTGTTTATAGTGTAGTGTTTCCATTTTATAATTTTCAATACAATTACTCAAATTATAGTCTATAAAATATGTTTTTTGTGCTACACAGCAATGGATAAGGAAATTTGTCAATCGCCGTTATTTCTCGCTGCTGTCAAAGGAACCGCAGAAGAAATAAAAAAACATTATGAAGCTGCTTCTGCCGCTCCGAAGAAAAAGGATAACTTTTATTTTGCCTTGTACTTCGCCTGCTTCAATGGACGAGTGGATGTCGTCAAATTTTTGCTGGAAAACAAAGTTGATCCCAATTATGTCGTTGGATCTTATTTGACGCCTCTGCATGCAGCAATTTTGAATAAGCACAATAGTATTGTTGAAATGCTATTAAATCACGGAGCGAATGTGAATCCAAAGATTAAAAATAAATCAGGGTATGTACATTTTTATTAATTTATTTAAGAAAATAATATTTCTTATATTTTGTTATTTTTGTATTCGCACTCATCTATTTAAATCTAATTTCTACTCTTTTACGAATTGCTATTGTTTGGATACTTTTTTTTCTATATTATTCATTTCAAAATGTTAATAAAATTCTTCAAAAGAATTTATTTATTTTCAACAATTTAAATAAAATTTATCATAAGAATTCAGTTATTTTCGCAAATAATAAAACTTTTGAGAAGAATTAAATTATTTCGATAAATATAATCTAATTCTTTGCTCGAATTTAATTATTTTCAGTACAATTTAAATGAAATTAATTAAAAGAGTTTCATTATTTTTAAAAATGTTTATAAAATTCGTCGAAAGAATTCCATTTCATTTTTAAAAATTTCGATACTTTCTTTCGATATTTTCGATATTTTCTTCGAAACAATTAAATTGTTTTCAAAAATTTTAATAACATTTTTAGGAAGAATTAATTTATTTTTACAAATAATAGAATCCTTTGCAGGAATTTAATTATTTTCAAAATTTTTAATAAAAAATTCAATAGTTTCAAAAATTTTAATTATTAATGACATTTTTGTCAAAAATTCAATCTTATTCAATAATTTTAATTATTTGAAGAAAATTATTATTATATTTAATTAATTTAATTATTTTTGGCAAAGATTCAATTATTTTCATAAAATTAATTTTAGAAATATCAAAATTGTTTGCAAAGAATTTAATTATTTTCGTAAATAATAAAATTCTTACAAGGAATTCAATTATTTTCAAATTTTTTGATAAATTTTTCGCAAGAATCTAATTATTTTCGTAATTAATAAAATTCTTCGGAGAAATTCAATTATTTCCTAAAATTATAATAAAATACTTGACAGAAATTCAATTATTTTCATAAATAACAAAGTTCTTCCAAGAAATTGAATTATTTTCATAAGTTTGAATAAAATCTTTAATAAAATTCAATTATTTTCGTAAATAATCAAATTCTTCGTAGGAATAAATTTATTTTCAAATTTTTTGATAAAATTCTTCGCAAGAATTCAATTATTTTTATAAATATAAAAATTTTAGTATTAATAACATTTTTGATAAGAATTTAATTATATGCACAAATAATAAAATTCTTCCCAGGAATTCAATTATTTTTAAAATTTTTATTTACTTATATTAACACTTTTGGCAAGAATTCAATCATTTTCAAAATTTTTTTTTACTATTTTTACTGAAAATCGATTTTAGTTAAGATTTTATATAATAAAATTGAATTTTTAAAGCATTAAAATGTGGATTTTTGCAATTCTTTGCAAAAATTCAATTATTTTCATAAATAAAATTCTTTTGCAGGAACTCAAATATTTCAAAAAATTTAAATAATATTCTTCTAAAAAATTCAATTACTTTCATAAATAATATAATTCTTTGCAGGAATTTAATTATTTAAAAAAAATGTTAATATTTTTCTACCCAATAATTCAAGTATTTTCATAAATAATAAAATTTTTTACAAGGATTCAATTATTTTCATAAATAATAAAACTCATCGCAGAATTTCAATTCTTTTAAATACAATTTTAATCGAATTCCTCGAAAAATGTAATTATTTCTCAAAAATTGTATTAAAATCCGCCAAAAGAATTCAATTATTTAAAAGTTTGTTGATCAAATTCTTTATGAGAATTCAGTTTTGAGAAACGTTCTAGTAAAAATAGTAAATTTTTAAAATATTTTTACTAAAAATGGATTTTAGTTAAGATTTTAGATAATGAAATTGAATTTTAAAAGTATTATAGCGTGGATGTTTAAAAATAATTGAATTTTGAAAAGGTTTGAAATTAAAATCTTTGAGAATTTGAATTTTTAATTCCTTTAACTAACATTTCTGTGGAATTATTTTTTTCGAAAAAGTTTAATTTAAATTCTTTACAAATTTTTTTTGAATTTTTAAATATGTATTTAATTATTTAACTATTAAAAAAATTTATTTAGAAAGGAATTTTAATTAAAAAATCCAGAAAATAATTAAGTATAATTTAGTTTTTATTTTTAAATTTTAATCTAATTGTAAATAAATGAATTTAAAAATTTTCAAAGAACTTTTTCAAAAACTTTTTAAATATTGAATTAAAGAAAAATTTTAGTTAACAATTTTTAAAAAATAATTGAATTAGAATGATGAAAATAATTTTAAAGAAGTTGCATTAAAAATATTCTCATAATATAAAATTAATTTTATTACTCGGTCATCTTTAATTATTATCTTCACGTTTTATAATAAATATTCTTACAAGTTGTTGAATTTCAAAAAGGTTTGAATTTGAATCTTTTGAAGAATTCTAATGCCTATTGATGAAAATTAATAATGATTAAATATTTATTTAAAAAGGAATTCATTGATTTTTTCGAATAATACTGAAAGCTAAATTTTGTTTTTTCAGAAAGAAAACCGTGGAAGTAAATTATTTTTGTTCTCCACTAATTTGCGCGGCTCGAACACAAAATGGAAAGGTGATCGAGATGCTTTTACAGAGGGATTCTGTTGTAAATACAAAAGTACAATCTGTGGATTATAACAAGAAGAAATCAATGTATTATAGAAGATCGGAACCGGAAGATGAATACGAAAGAAAATTGATTTTCGGAACATTCGACTCAGATAAATTAAGTAAAGAATACAGTGATCATAGTCAAATGGGATTTACACCTCTTCATTTTGCAATTAAGGGCAATAAGCAAGCTATCGCTCAATTACTATTAGATCACGGTGCGAACATTAATGAGAGTTCTGAATTTGGTTTAACTCCACTTTGTTTGGCTTGCGAACGAAATGATGTGGATCTCGTCAAGTTTGTTCTAAAAGCAGGAGCCGATATGAAAGCTCAAGTAGCCAATGGTAAAAATTTACTATCCTACGTTATAAGATGTATTATTATCGATTCATTTCAACATTCTTACGACGAATACGAGAAACAAGTTTGGATCGACAGGTGCAAGGTGTTCAGTTATTTATTGAAAGTAGGCGCCGATCCAAATGGATGGTCAGTGAAGAATAAGGAAAGCGTTCTTCATTGCGCGGCAAGAAATGGAGTTCCTCACATTATTCATCTTTTATTGAAGTACGGCGCGAATGTTAATTCCGTGGATAATGAATTAAAAACTCCGATTGAATACGCAGTCAGTAGTTTACAGGAAACATTAGAAGAAATTCAAGATGTTTATTATTGGGATATTTCATCATCTGATGATGATGATTATAGAAGTCGTTTCTTCGATGATTCAGAAGAAGAGGAAGAACATGAGAGGGACATGGAGGATCGTCAAAAGGAGCGTGAAGCTAGACGAAAACATAAATTTGACAACAGAAAAATTTACAATCTCACGCATAATAAATATACGTACAATAAATTTAAATATGAAAAGGATCAGGCTAACGATGAGGGTTACACTATTTTCAAAGATCCTCAACCTTTGCGTTTGGTTTCACAATTATTTGTTCGTGAATTGGTGAGATTGGAAGCACTCGGCAAGAAGAACGCTCAGCAGAATGTGAAATTTCTTCAAACAAAATTTGTCAAACCCTATTATACGAGATGTAAAAATGAATTGAAAAAATTGAAGAAAAATGTAATAGCTGATGGTGTGAATTATTACGATTTTTTGATCGCCAATGATGATAAATTGAAGGAATTTATGAAAAATGCGAAGATTGCGAAGGAAATAAATGAGAAGAATTGTCGAGAATTGTTTCCGAATTATACTCGTGATTTGAAATTGAATGCTAAACGAGTAATGAAGAGAAAGAAATCGAAAGTTGATGAAGAATCAAGTGGATCGAGCGATGATGATGTGCAAGTTGGCGGAGGAAGAGCAAAAAAACGTCGTTGAGGACCAAATTGTGTCTTCTCTCAATATTTTTTATTTTATTTTCCACTCTAGTTTACTTCTATAAGTATTATGTTTTTTTGTTTGTTTAAACGTACCGTGAACTTTTGTTGTAAACTATTTAACGTTTTTCTATTTACGTGTTTAATTTTAAACATATTTTTTATTAAGATAGTGATTCGACTTAAAGTCGAGGCCGAAAAACCAAAGTTATTTCATAGCTTATAGATTATTAAAGCACTCACAATTATTAAGATTAAAAAAAATCGTGTGAGAAAAAGAAAAAAAAATATTTGCAATTTTAAAAATTGTTAACAACGATAATTTCATAAAATGCGTGTTAAACGCAATTAAAAGAATCGCAGTATTTTTATACTATTTTATAATTTTGTACGAAAAGTGAGATTAAAAAAAGTTTGAGATTAAAAAAAAATTGTGTAAGAGAAAGAGCAAAATATTTGGAATTTTTAAAATTGTTAACAACGATAATTTAAAAAAATGCCTGTTAAACGTAGTTAAAAGACTACTATTTTAGAATACTATTTTATACTTTTGTACGAAAAGAAAAGAGTTGATAAAAAATGTTATTTTCTAAACAATAAAATTGTCTTCTTTTTTCATTAAATTAAATTTTCATTTTATTTTCTTAAATTAAAAAATTGTTGAATAATTAAAACTGTTAATGAATGTTAAATAATTACGGGAAAATTTGAAAATATTAAAGAAAACTTTTGTTTTCAAAGAAGATATATATTTTCCTAAATGATTATCTGATAAATTGCAGAAATTTACAACACTCGCAAACGAGAATACCAGAGATTCTCGCAACGAATTTTATCAAAAATTTTGAAAACAATTGAATTCCTTGGAAGAATTTTATTATTTATGAAAATAATTGAATTCTTGCAAAGAATTTTATTCAAATTTTTGAAAATAATTAATTTTTTCGAAGAATTTTGTTATTTATGAAAATAATTTAATTCTTGTCAAGAATTTTATTATAATTTTTGGTAATAATTGAATTTCTCCGAAAAATTTCATTATTTACGAAAATCATTGAATTATTTGTAAAAATTTTATTATTCATGAAAATAATTGAATTCCTTGGAAGAATTTTATTATTTACGAAAATAATTGAATTATTTGTAAAAATTTTATTATTCATAAAAATAATTGAATTCTTGCAAAGAATTTTAACCAAAAATTTGAAAATAATTGAATTCTTTGGAAGAATTTTATTATTCATATGAAAATAATTGAATTCTTGCAAAGAATTTTAACCAAAAATTTGAAAATAATTGAATTCTTTGGAAGAATTTTATTATTCATGAAAATAATTGAATTCTTGCAAAGAATTTTAACTAAAAATTTGAAAATAATTGAATTCCTTGGAAGAATTTTATTATTTACGAAAATAATTGAATTCTTGCAAAGAATTTTATACAAAAATTTGAAAATAATTGAATTCTGGCAAAAAATTTTATCCAAAAATTTATAAATAATTGAATTCTTTCGAAGAATTTTATTATTTACGAAAATAATTAAATTTTTGCAAAGAATTTTATAAAGGAAATTTGAAAATAACTTTATTCCTTCAAAGAATTTTATTATTTACGAAAATAATTGAATTCCTGCGAAGAATTTTATTATTAATTAAAATAATTGAATTTTCAAGTTTTTAAAATAATTGTGTTCATTAATAATAATAATTGAAATTAAACATTTTGTTTGTTGAATTTTTTGAAAAATTTTTCAGAATATAAAAATAAATTTTTTTAAACAATTTTATTAGAATTTTTTATAAATAATTAACTTTTTTTGGGGAAATTTTTTAAGTTTTTTGAAAATATTGTTTTTTTAAATAATTTTCATTTCAAATTTTGAAAATAATTGAAAAATGAAGAATTTTTTCAACAATTTGTTTATTTCCATAAAGAATTTTATTACGTCCAAAAAAATCTGCGGGAAATGAAATAGAATAACAACCATACATGTGCTGTTCCTCGAAAATAAGAATAATAGTTAAAATCACAGATGTTAAAATAATCTGCGAGAAAGAGGCAAATGTCACGTAGGATACAAAAAAATTAGAGTTTAGAAAAAACGGGGTTTATTTTCTATAAAAAATAGTCTTTTGAAAAGCACACATTCCTGAACTTCGAAAACGTTGGGAAACCCCAAACATGTGGTAGCAATAAAAAAAGGGACCGTGGGACTCGGGCTTTACTCGAGTCCCCGCTATAAAAAAGGGTATTGTACCTTCAGGAAAAACCAATGACTCATTTTTCATACATAAAAAAGGGAAATGAGTTTTCTATTTAATTATAATTTGATACGAATTTCATATTTGAATTATATGTACGACATTAAAATTTGTATAAAACAACGCTAAACGAATTTAACTTATTAAATATTATGTATTTGCTATATTGTAATATTATAAATCATAAAAGTGAATGATTAATTATAAATGATATATAAGAAATACAAAAATGTTACTAGGATCTAACCGCTCTATAATATTGACGAAACAAATATTAATTGTTCAAAACACACTTCATTGCTAATGTTAATTTTAAATACAAATTAAAGAATGGTATGCGTGTATAAATAACTTGTAAAATAACATTCCGTCAGGGTTGTATTGGTCACAGAGACGTTCAAAGGTAGGGGTAGCTATCCCCTCTACTCAACGCACGCAGGGTCCTTTGGGGACCAGGACCCAGGGGACTGACTACATCATCTTCCTCGGCAGAAATCTCCGAGCACTCTTACCGATTACTTGTTGTAATCTCTCGGCTCGAAACTTTCCCTATTTTCGTACTTGGAACGTGACAAGAACTTTAATTGAATTCTTACAAAGAATTAAATCGAAAAATTTTGAAAATAATTAAATTCCTTCAAAGAATTTTGTTATTTATGAAAATAATTGAATTAATATTCCTTAAGAAACTCTGCCTACCCAACCCTTATAAATAAATAAATGAGTTTCCAGTCTATATTGTTCATTCAATGGTCTAACGTTTGGCGCCTACTTCATTCGTCTTTCGTCTTTGGAGTTTGCTAATTTGCTTGTTTAATCCTGATTCGTCTGTCTTTGGAGTTTGAACTTCTGTGATACTTTTCTCTAAAAGACTAAAAGTAGAATGCAAAATATCATCGAATAAGTAAGTATCTTTGTTTAAAATTTTTAATTAATCAATTTTATATTTACAATCTATTTAACTAAGCTCTTAATTTTTTTTCCAATTTTCAACACGTGGTCGTATTAATTTTTAAAAGTAAAAAACTAATTGTAATTCAAATATTTTGAATAGACAGCACAAAATTTATGACTCTTTTGTTTACTTATTATGTGTTTATAGTGTAGTGTTTCCATTTTATAATTTTCAGTACAATTACTCAAATTATAGTCTATAAAATATATTTTTTGTGCTACACAGCAATGGATAAGGAAATTTGTCAATCGCCGTTATTTCTCGCTGCTGTGAAGGGAAACGCTGAAGAAATAAAAGAACATTATGAAGCTACTTCTGCCGCTCCAAAGAAAGAGGATAAATTTTATTTTGCCTTGTACTTCGCCTGCTTCAATGGACGAGTGGATGTCGTCAAATTTTTGCTGGAAAACAAAGTTGACCCAAATTATGTCGTTGGATCTTATTTGACGCCTCTGCATGCAGCAATTTTGAATAAGCACAATAGTATTATTGAAATGCTATTAAATCACGGAGCCAATGTGAATCCAAAGATTAAAAATAAATCAGGGTATGTACATCTTTATTAATTTATTTAAGAAATTAATATTTCTTATATTTTGTTATTTTTGTATTCGCACTCATCTACTAAAATCAATTTTCTACTTTTTAACGATTTGCTATTATTTGGATACTTTTTTTTATTATTGTGAATAATTTCTATAAAATTCTTCGCAAAAATTCAGTTATTTTCAAAAAAATTTTATGCTAAGAATTTAATTTTTAAAAAAATGTTAATAAAATTATTCGCAAAAATTCCATTCTTTTCATAAATACAATTTTCACATGAATTCAATTATTTAAAATACAATTTTATTTATTTATTTTCATTTACGACTTGTACTTTCATATTATAGAAAATTTTTCGAAAGAAGTCAATTATTTTCAAAAATTTTGATAACAGTTGTTTATCAGAATTTCTGTAACATATTGAATAGAATATTTTTCTAAATTCATTGCAAGAAATCAATTTTATTGAATACAATTTTAATTAAGTCATTCAAAATATTTCAATTATGTTCAAAATTTCAATAAAATTTTTCGACAGAATTAATTATCTATTGCTATTTATTAACTTCTAAAATATCAACAAAATTTCTTAAAACAATTAAATTATTTTTATAAAATTTAGTCAAATTCTTCTCAAGAATTCAATTATTTTGAAAAAAAAACCCAATTCTTGGCAAGAATTCAATTATTTTCATATAAGTAATATAATTCTTTGAAGGAATTTGTATATTTTCAATTCAATTTAAATAAAATTAATCGAAAGAATTCTTTTATTTTTAAGAATGTGTATAAAATTCATTGAAAGAATTCAATTATTTTCACAAATAATAGAATTCTTCCCAGGAATTTAATTATTTTAAAAAATTGTAATAAAATTGTTCCCAAAAATTCAATTGTTTTTCCAAAAAACAAAATTCTTTGCAAAAATTCAATTATTTTCATAGATAAAAAAATTTCTGGAAGAAATGAAATATTTTTAAAATATTTTGATAAAATTTCTTTATTTTAATTTAATTCGAAAGAATTTAATTATTTTGTTAAATTATAAAATTCTCATCAAGAATTTAATTATTTTTTTAAATTATAAAATTCTTTGCAGGAATTCAATTATTTTAAAAATTTAAATAAAATTCTTGTCAACAATTTAATTATTTTCATAAATAACAAAAATCTTTACTGGTATTCAATTATTTTAAAAAATTTAAATAAAATCCTTGTCAACAATTCAATTATTTTCATAAATAACTTAATTTTTTTTAAATTCAATTATTTAAAAATATTTTTAATAAAATCGGTTACAAGAATTGAATTATTTTTATAAATTATAAAGTTCTTTTTAAGAATTCAATTATTTTCATAAATTACAAAAACTCATCGCAAAATATCAATTATTTTTAATATAATTTTAATCGAATTGCTCGAAAAATGTACTTATTCTTAAAAATTTTATTAAAATTCGTCAAAAAAATTCAATTATTTAAAATTTTGTTTTTATAATTCTTTATGAGAATTCAGTTTTAAGAAACATTCAATTATTCAATAAATTATTTATTTTCATGTTTAAATAATTGAATTCTAGTAGAATTTTTTAATAAAAATTGATTTCAAAATGAATTTTAGTTAAAATTCTTTATGAAAATTAAATTTTAAGAAACATTCAATTATTCAACAAATGATTTATTTTTGTATTTAAATAATTGAATTCTAGTAATAGTAAAATTTTTTAATACAAAAATTGATTAAAAATGAATTTCAGTTAAAAATTGAGATAATAATTAAATATTGAATTTTAAAAGCATTATAGCGTGGATTTTTAGAAATAATTGAATTTTAAAAGGGTTTCAAATTAAAATCTTTCAAAATTTGTATTTTTAATTCCCTTAACTAACATTTCTGTAGAATTATTTTTTTCGAAAAAATTTAATTTCAATTCTTTTAAAATTTGTGTTCAATTTTTAAATATATATTTAATTATTTAACTATTTAAAAAAAAATTTATTTAGAAAGGAATTTTAGTTCAAAATTTCGGAAAATAATTAAATTTAATTTAGTTTTTATTTTATAATTGAATTTAATTATTGTAAATAAATGAAATTAAAAATTTTCAAAGAACTTTTTCAAAAACTTTTTAAAAATTGAATTAAAGAAGAATTTTAGTTAAAAATTTAAAAAAATAATAATTGAATTAAAATGATGAAAATAATTTTAAAGAAGTTGCATTAACAGTATTCTTATAATATAAAATTAATTTTATTACTCGGTCGTCCTTAATTATTATAAAACATGAAGAAAACGATAGTTATCTTCACGTTTTATAATAAATATTCTTAAAAAGTTGTTGAATTTCAAAAAGGTTTGAATTTGAATCTTTTGAAGAATTTTAATGCCTACTAATAAAAATTAATAATGATTAAATATTTATTTAAAAAAGAACTCATTGATTTTTTCGAATAATACTGAAAGCTAAATTTTGTTTTTCCAGAAAGAAAACCGTGGAAGTAAATTATTTCTGTTCTCCACTAATTTGCGCGGCTCGAACACAAAATGAAAAGGTGATCGAGATGCTTTTACAGAGGGATTCTGTTGTAAATACAAAAGTACAATCTGTGGATTATAACAAGAAGAAATCAATGTATTATAGAAGATCGGAACCGGAAGATGAATACGAAAGAAAATTGATTTTCGGAACATTCGACTCATACAATTTAAGTGAAGAATACAGGGATAGTTGTAAATTGGGATTTACACCTCTTCATTTTGTACTTAAAGGCAATAAGCAAGCTAGCGCTCAATTACTATTGGATCGCGGTGCGAATATTAATGAGTTCTCTAAATTGGGTTTAACTCCACTTTTTTTGGCTTGCAAAGAAAATGATTTGGATCTCGTCAAGTTTCTTCTAAAAGCAGGAGCCGATATGAATGCTCAAGCATCGAATGGTGAAAATTTACTATGCTACATTATAGGATGTATGATTTTCGATTCATTTCAAGATTCTTACGACGAATATGATAAACAAGTTTGGATCGACAGGAGCAAGGTATTCAGCTATTTATTGAAAATAGGCGCCGATCCAAATGGATGGTCAGCGAAGGATAAGGAAAGCGTTCTTCATTGTGCGGCAAAAAATGGAATTCCTCATATTGTTCATCTTTTATTCAAGTACGGCGCGAATGTTAATTCCGTGGATAATGAATTAAAAACTCCGATTGAATACGCTGTCGGTCATTTACAGAAAACAGTGCAAGAAATTCAAGATGATTATTATTGTGCCGATGATTCATATTCCGATGAAGATGAGTATAGAAATAATTTCTTCGGTGGTTTAGAGGACGAGGAAGATTATGAGCAGAGCAGGGAGGAACGTCGTAAGGAACGTGAAGAAATTCGAGAAGAAAGATTTAGGAATAGAAAAATTTACAATCTCACGCATAATAAATATACGTACAATCGATTTAAATATGAAAAATATCACGGCAATGATGAGGGTTACACTATTTTCAAAGATCCACAACCTTTTCGTTTGGTTTCACAATTATTTGTTCGTGAATTGGTGAGATTGGAAGCACTCGGCAAGAGGAACGCTCAGCAGAATGTGAAATTTCTTCAAACAACATTTGTCAAACCCTATTATACGAGATGTAAAAATGAATTGAAAAAATTGAAGAAAAATGTAATTGCGGATGGTGTGAATTATTACGATTTTTTGATCGCCAATGATGATAAATTGAAGGAATATATGGAAAATGAGAATATTGCGAAGAAAATAAATGAGGAGAATTGTCGACATTTGTTTCCGAATTATACTCGCGATTTGAAATTGAATGCTAAACGAGTTATGAAGAGAAAGAAATCGGAAGTTGATGAGGAATCAAGTGGATCTAGCGATGATGATGTGCATGTAGGAGGAGGAAGAGCAAAAAGACGTCGTTGGTGACGAAATGTGTTTCAAGATTTTTTATTTTATTTTCCAATCTAATTTACTTCCATTTTATGTTTTTTTGTTCGTTTAAACGTATCGTGAATTTGTCGTAAACTATTTAACGTTTTTCTATTTACGTGTTTAATTTTAAACATATTCTCCATTAAGATAGAGATTCGACTGAATAATAATTCGACTTAAAGTCGAAATAGCGAAAAACCAAAGTTATTTCATAACTCATACGTTATTAAAGCACTTACAATTATTGAGATTAAAAAAAAATGTGTAAGAGAAGCAAAAAAATATTTGCAATATTTAAAATTGTTAACAACGATAATTAAAAAAAAATGTGTGTTAAACGCAGTTAAAAGAATCGTAGTATTTTCATACTATTTTATACTTTTGTAAGAAAAGAAAAGAGTTGATAAAAATTTGATTTTCTAAAAAAAATTGTCTTCTATTTTCATTAAATTAACTAAAAATAAAATTTCTGAAAAATTTGTTTTCAAAAGTTTTAAGATTATTATTTTAAAATTTATTAAATTAACTAAAAATAAAATTTTTTTAAATTGTTATTTTAAAATTTATTTAATTAACTATAAAGTAAAATTTTTGAAAAATTTGTTTTGAAGAGTTTTAAAATTATTATTTTGAAATTTATTAAATTAACTAAAAATAAAATTTTTGAAAAGTTTGTTAATAATTGCGGGAAAATTCGTAAATTTAAAGAAAGACTTTAGTTTTCAAAGAAGATATATTTTCCTGGATGATTATCTGATAAATTGCAGAAATTAACAACACTCGCAAACGGGAATACCAGAGATGTTGAAAAAAAATTTTATTTCTTTTTTCGTTCACGTTGAGTGTTGTTTAAATAATGATAATGACCTTTGCCATTGAATGAATCATGTTCCTTGATAGTTATTTATTAGTTTCTTTTAGTTGCATTAAGGCGAATCTTGACAGACAGTCAATTTATTATACGTTCTACAATGTTTCATAAATTATTTATTTTTGCCGTTATACTTTCTATATCATTAGCAGGTAGGTAAAAATTTTTTTAATCCTATTTATTGATAATTAACACTTGACTATTCTGTATTTATTAATATATTTTTATATTTGATTATTACTATAATATAATAATAATGATAAAAACAAAAAAAATATGCAAAATAATATCAATAATAACAATCAAATGAATCAATTAATTAAAATAGTAAATAAATTAATAGTAGATACTTCATAATGAATAATCAATAATTAAAAAAAATTATTAATATTAATTAATTAATAAATTAATTATTAATAAATTTATAATAAATAAATCATTAATCCGTATTAAAAATCAACGATTATTTCTGCTAATTTATTTCAATTTTAAAAACTTAATCATATTCCTTGTAAGAATTTTATTATTTATGAAAATAATTGAATTCTCGCAACGAATTTTATCAAAAATTTGAAAACAATTAAATTTCTTGGAAGAATATCAATATTTATGAAAATAATTGAATTATTGCAAAGAATTTTATCCAAAAATTTGAAAATAACTTTATTCCTTCGAACAATTTTATTATTTATTACGAAAATAATTGAATTCTTGCAAAGAATTTTATTATAATTTTTGGTAATAAATGAATTTCTCCGAAGAATTTTATTATTTACGAAAATAATTGAATTCCTGACAAAAATTTTATCAAAAAATTTGAAAATAATTGAATTTCTTGTCAGAATATTATTATTTATGAAAATAATTGAATTCTTGCAAGAATTTCATTCAAAAAATTAAAAATAACCATATTCCTTCGAAGAATTTTTTTTTTTACAAAAATAATTGAATTCTCGCAACGAGTTTTATCAAAAATTTGAAAACAATTGAATTCCTTGGAAGAATATTAATATTTATGAAAATAATTGAATTATTGCAAAAAATTTTATCCAAAAATTTGAAAATAACTTTGTTCCTTCAAAGAATTTTAATTTACGAAAATAATTGAATTTTTGCAAAGAATTTTATTCACATTTTTGAAAATAATTAAATTTTCTTCGAAGAAATAAAATAAATAATTAAATTAATTAAATTAAATTAAATAATTTAATTCCTGCGAGAAATTGTATCAAAAATTTTGAAAATAATTGAATTTCTTGTAAGAAGTTTATTATTTATAAAAATAATTGGATTCTTGTCAAGAATGTTACTCAAATTTTTGGTAATAATTAAATTTCTCTGAAGAATTTTATTATTTACGAAAATACATTGAAAAATGAAGAAAAATTGTGTGTAAAATAATTGAACTTCTAAGAAGAATTTTACTATCTAAAAAAATTATGTAAATTGTGGAAAGAATTTTACTATTTATTAAAATAATTTCAAAATTTTTTTTAAAAATAATTGAATTTTTTCATGAAAATTTCATAGTAAAATATTTGATATTAGAAATCGTAATATAATTTGCAGAGGAAGATTCATGTCCAAATATTATTTTGAGAACACAATGGAATGCAAAAAAGTCGGTATTAGATAATTTTTTAATACCTCCTCTTGAATATGTCGTTATTCATCATACCGTAACTCCAGAATGTCTAAGTCAATCGAGTTGTTCTAGTCAAATGCAAAATATTCAATCTTATCACATGGATTCTCTCGAGTGGCACGATATTGGCTATTCGTAAGTAAATTACAAATTTTTATTATTAAAATTATTTAATATTAATTATTACGGACTCAATGCGCATAAATAAATTAATTATTAAAATAAAATTACACAATAGAATTAATTTTTAAAAAATACCTAATTTAATTTTAAAAAAATAATTTAATTTGAAAAAAATTATTTTCATAGTTGAAAAAATTCAAACTTCTTTAAGTAGAGAAGAATTTTAGATAAAATGAAGAATGAAATCTAATTCTTCATTATTTACCGAACAAATAAATAAAATTTTTCATAATTAATTAAAGATTTACAATTGGAGGAGATGGAAACGTGTACGAAGGTGTTGGATGGTACAAAGAAGGCGCGCACACTTACGGTTACAATAAAAAAGGTTTAGGAGTTGCATTTATAGGAAACTTTCAAAGTAAGTAATTTTTCTTTTCAATATAAAAAATATTCTTCTTTACGCATATTTTAAATTTTGCTTTTTACTTCAGACAAGAAGGCAAGTGAGGAAATGATGAAAGCAGCTCACAATTTAATCAAATGTGGAAAATCGGAAGGATATTTGCGAAATGATGTCAAAGTAGTCGGAGCACGCCAAGTCGTTAATATTATTAGTCCAGGCGATCAACTTTTTCATCAAATTCAAAAATGGTCCGAATGGTCCTCCCGCTCCTAAAAATCAATCTAAAATTACGAATTTCAAAATAGCTGAAAGGAAATAGCAGGGCTCGAACCAGTAAAAGTATTTAAAAAAACGGACTTTTTCGAAAAAGTTCTTTGACAATTTTCAAATCCATTTGTTTACAATATTCAATTTTACGAATTACAATTATTCGTAAATTCTTCAATTAGATATATATAAGAAAATGAAAACTTCAAATAGAAATAGTTCTACTAGAATTCAATTATTGAAATACAAAAATAAATAATTTATTGAATAATTGAATTTTCCTTAAAATTGAATTCTCATAAAGAATTTTATCAACAAATTTTTAAACTGTTGAATTCTTTTGACGATTTTTAATAAAAAAATTTTTAAATAATTCCATTTTCGAGGAATTTGATTAAAATTGTATTAAAAATAATTGAAATTCTGCAATGAGTCTCATTATTTATGAAAATAATTGAATGTTTGCGTAGAATATTATTAAAATATTTTTAAATAATTAAATTCTTCTAAAAAATTCTGTAAATCTTTATATGTCAAAAATATTTGAAAATAATTAAATTCTTGACATGAATTTTATAATAAATTTAAGAAAATATTTAAATTCTTTCCAAGAATTTAATAAAAATTGTATTGAAAATAATTAAATTCTGATAAAATTTCATCAAAATTTTTCAATAAACAGAAAAAATTATTTTCTTCGGGAAATTCTATTATCTTGAAAAATAATTTTATTCTTGACAAGAATGTTATGAAATTTTTACAAATAATTGAATTCCTGCAAAGAATTTTGATATTTATAAAAATAATTGAATTCTTGCGAAGAATTTTTGAAAATAATTAAATTCCTGGGAAGAATTCTATGTGATTGTGAAAATAATTGAATTCTTGACAAAAATATTATTAATAATTAAAAGTTTCAAAAATAATTGAATTCCTGGGTAGAATTCTATTATTTGTGAAAATAATTAAATTCTTGACAAAAATGTTGTTAATAATTAAAATTATAATATTAATTAATAATTAAAATTTTATTATTTCTAAAAATAATTGAAATTTTGACAAGAATTTTGTTAAATTTTTTAACATAATTGAATTTTTGCGAAGAATTTTATTACTTTTGAAAATAATTGAATTTTTGCAATCATTTGTAATTTCTCTAAAATTCTCCAAATTATATCGTACAATTTACGAATTTTTCGTCTTTTTTCTAGCAAATTACGAACTTTACGAACATTTAAAAAAACTGACTTTTACGGACTTGAAGCAAAACGGACCTTTACGAGATTTACGGACTTAGTTCGAGCCCTAAAATATCAAAAAAAGTATTAAATAACAACAAAATATGATTTTCAACTTTTTGTTTTAATTCTTTTTGTACGTCTATTATATACAAGGCTGCTTTCTGTCCATGCACATTACAGTGGTTGGCAAATTAAAAAAAAATTAAGTTTCTTCTCTTAAAACAAACAAATTCAAGATACAATTGATTAAAAAAAATCTATTTACAATGACGTCGATTTTTCATGCTAAATGCACAATCTTCAGTAAAATCAATAAAGATTGACAATAGCAAATTCGAATAATTACTAAATTTAAATTAAATACTCAATGAAATGAAGCGGTTTACATTTTTTTTCACCATTAAATCAATATTATTGACGTTTCGAAATTCAATAAAATTTATTTTCAATTAAATTTGTGCATGAAATGTCGCGGATGTGTAAACTGTTAATCATTCCGAGCTATCGATTCCTTCAACTGTCAATAGCAAAATAAATAGATTAACTAACCAGTCCATATATACACACTCTGTACATTTATTTCAATTAAATTAATCAATTACTTTTCGTAATTTATTATATTTCATTCATCTATGGCTTAGAACTCTTTATTTTTTTTTCTTTTTGTCTACTAGCAAAATAGGATCGTTCGCGTGTCTTTCTTTTTTCATATATTAATATTAATATTTATTATTTTGAATTATCATAAATAACAATAGGCTTGACACCGAACGCGACTAGAAACGCGTTTGCAATTTTTTTTACGCTAAATCTTTCAATTCAGAATCATAATTCGAAAGAATTTTAATTATTTTTTGCACCATCGTTGATTGATAATGAAAAAAGAAAAAGTTTTACCTTCGATGAGAAAATGTTAAATTTTTCTATATATTTTTTTCTACAAAACGAAAAACGTTCTTTTAATCGCTGAAAATTTCTCTAAAAAACTTTCCAAATAACCAAAAAAGTAAACATTCGAAAGAATTATTACCTTTTTTCGAAAAATCGGTTTTCAAAAAGCATTTTTTTTTTGTAATAATCCTGTCATTACAACGAAATAAAAAATTTTACTTTTATCAAAATTTCGGAATATTTGATTCACGAAATTAAAAATTTCTTTTTCTAAAACTGTCTAAAATTTTTGTTTGCAAAAATTTATTTTTTTTCTCTAAATTGAGAAAAAATGCAAATTAGAAAGTTCGACAGTTCTATATATAAAAAGAATATTAATCGCATATGAACAATATTATTTTTTTGATAAATGTGTGCAATTCTTGAAAGCACATGTCATTTAAAATAAAAAGAAGAGAAAGTAAAAGAAAATAATACGAGGGACATAAAAAAACCGCATACTGTTGGTATAGACGCGAGTGTTGAACATTTCCCTAAAAAAAAAATTCCTTACAACTTTAAAATCTGAAATATGAATTTGAATTTCCATTTCCAATAAATAAAATAAGAATAAGATTATTTCCAAAATAAAACGTAAGAAAATAATAAGAGAATATTTATAAATAATATAAAATTTTTAATTCTAAAAAGTTTGTTTAAATATAAATATTATAAAATTTTGAATTCAATATTGTATTTCAGAATTTTAAAGTGAGTATTTTTTTCTACACCTACAATACGTTAACGGCAGTAATTTTGATATTCTCATTTTCAATAAAGCAATAATTCTAGTCACTTCAGAATTACGTCTTCAATATCTCTCTCTCTCACACACGCTTTCGTTTCTCTCCTCTTTTTTACAATTTCTTTTTATAAAATACCTAATAATACATTCGGTATAAACAAAATTTTAAAGATCTTTAATTAATTAATTGCAGAAAATAAAAATTTTATCATGGTTAAAAAATATTTTCAACCAAAATAAAAAAAAAATTTTTAAGATTGATAAAAATTGATAAAAATCAAATTTTCAACTAGAAGGACAATGAATTATTTATTTGGAAAATAGCGAATTTGCAAAACAGCTAAATCAGGGTTGGCCACATGTCAGTAAAGTCTGTGAAATGTCAGGAAAACAAAATTTTGTCCGGAAAGTTTTGAAAATTGAGTCTTTTTTTTGACTTATTTAAAAAAATTTTGCGACTTTTTCGACTTAACTTCCAAATATTACAACCAAATACGACAATTTTTTGTAATTTGAAAATAATTTAACTGTTGCCAAGAATTTTATCGAAAAATTTAAAAATAACTTTATTCCTTCGAAAATAATTGAATTCTTTTTAAGAATTTTATGGAAAAATTTGAAAATAATTGAATTCCTTCGAGCAATTTTATTATTTGTAAAAATAATTAAAATTCCAGCGAATAATTTTATCAAAAAATTTTAAAGTAATTGAATTCTTTCAAACAATTTTATCGAAAAATTTGAAAATAATTGAATTCCTTCGAATAATTTTGTTATTTATAGAAATAATTAAAATTCCTTGCGAAGAATTTTATCAAACAATTTTAAAATAACTTTATTCCTTCGAAGAATTTTATTATTTATGAAAATAATTAAATTCTTTCAAGTTCTTAAAATAATTGAAATTAAGCATTTGTTTGTTGAATTTTATTAAAATTTTCAGAAAATAAATTAATGAAAATTAGCTTCTAATTTTTTAAAATTCAATATTTTCAGTATTTTTAATTTAATATTTCTGAAAATTCAAATACATACTAAAAAATAATAATATTTTAGAATTATTTTTAATGTTTTAGAGAAAAAAAATGTTCAAATTTTTTAATTAAAAAATTCATCAAAAATGAAATTAGTTTTTTAAATTGTACAAAAATTTTTTTAAGAACTTCAATTATTTTCTCAAAGTTTTAAAATATTCATTAATATTATCTTTAAAAAATTATTTAAAAATATTTTTAAAAAATTAATAGGAAGAATTTTATTATAATTTTTTGAAAATATTATACTTTAAAAAGTTAAGAAAAAACATGGACAGTTACAATTATTACAAAAAAATTTAGTTTTTGTATTTGAATAATTGAATTTATTCTAAAAGAACTTTCGATAAATTATTAAAAATATTTTATTTAGACTTGAAGTTTAGTTAAAAATTGTAGAAAATAATTGAATTCACGTATGGTTATAATTGTATTTTTAGAAATTATTAAAATTAATAAATTTTACTCATTTTTCCTATAAACTTTCATATTTTCCTGTAAAAACAATTTTGTCAGGGAAATGTCAAGGAAATGAATGAACTGAAACTTGTGATCACCCTGTAAATTTCCAACAATTCGAAAATACTTTCAAAATACTTTTGTATTTTGAAAGTCTTTCTATATTTGAAAGCGAAAACTAAAGTATTTAAAAATAATTTACTTTTAAAAGAAAGAAAAATTTCAACTAGTGGAAAAAAAATTCGACTAGGAAAGAAAATCTAAATACTAGATTCTAGTAACTAATAGCTAAAAAATAAAATTCTGAAGTGTGCTCTTTTTTCACAGCCATTCATCGAAATCTTCAACACTCGTCGTCTCCTATTTAAAGGGATTTCGAGAAACGGAATATGTTTATATATATATATTAAAAAAAATGAATAATTTAGAGCAAACCGCCTTTTCTACCAAATAGAAGTGAGCTAAGTGTGCCAAGTGCCGACTGGGCAGCCGATTCCTTAGTGACGGGAGGAGCAGCCGGTGGTTTCACTTGTCCAAGATCGGGTCTCGTCGAACGATTTCCCGAGCGTCGTTGTCGACTCGATCCATAACTCAATTTCCCCTCACTATCACTCAATCCCCTTGATCTATCACTGGGCAATGATGAAATTGAATTTTCACTGATGGAAGATGCCGAGGAAGATAAATCCAATTTCTCTTGACTGAAACTGGAGGACATGGAATTTTTCAGGAAGGTCAATTGAGCCATGGGACTCTCCATATTTCGCCTTGTATAAAGTGCACCCTGTAATGCCAATGGCGATATATTTGTTGATGTTGTTGCGGACATTATTGTATCGATTCCAATTCTCTCGAGTTTCTCCACAAGTCGAATTCCCGTCAATGCTTTCTTCTCTGATCTGAAAATTATTTTTTCACATTCACATAAGTTAAAAGTAAATTAATTACATATTAAAATTAATTAATTTTTTAAAAAAATCTTTTCAATTCTAAAATTAATCAATTGAAAATCATTAATTTAATTCATGCAAAAAAATGTAATTGAAAAATTTGAATATAATTGAATTTCTTCGAAAAAATTTTTTATTTATAAAAATTATTTAATTCTTCATGAGAATTTTACTATTTTATAAAAATCATTGAATTGCTTCAAAGAACTTTATTATTTACGAAAATAATTGAATTTTTGCAAAGAATTTTATAAAAAAAATTTGAAAATAATTAAATTCCTGCAAAGAATTTTATCATAAAATTTGAAAATAATTGAATTTCTTCAAAGAATTTTATTATTTATAAAAATAATTGAATTCTGTCAAGTTTTTAAAATAAAATTGTGGTTATTTATAATTGAAATTAAACACTTGATTGTTGAATTTCATTAAAATGTTTAGAAAATAACTAAATTCTCTTTAGAATATAAATTAAATTCTTTTAAACAATTTTATTAGAGTTTTTGTAAATAATTAAATTTTTTTGAGGAATTTTTTTTTAAGTTTTTTAAAAATAATGTAGTTTTTTCTTAATAATTTTAATTGAAAATTTTGATCATAATTGAAAAATAAAATATTTTTAACATTTTAAAATAATCGTGTCTGTTAATAATTATAATTAAAAATTTTATTAAAATTGTATTGAAAATAATGCAATTCCTTCAAAGAATTTCGTTATTTATGAAAATAATTGAATTGCTTCGAAGAACTTTATTATTTATGAAAATAATTGAATTAATGCAAAAAATGTTATGGAAAAATTTGAAAATAATTGAATTCATTCGAAAAATGTTATTATTTACGAAAATAATTGAATTCTTGCGAAGAATTTTAATAAAATTTATATTTATTATTAAATTTTACAAAAGACTTCTTTCAAAATTTATAAAATAATTATGTTCGTTAATAATTGAAATTTAACATTATATTATTGAATTTTATTAAAATTTCTAGAAAATAATTAAATTCTTCTCAGAATATTATTGCAATTTTTTAAAAGAATTTAATTCATTCAAGGGAATTTATTAAAATATTGATAATAATTGAATTCTTTCAATTAATTTTGAATTTATAATTGATCATTTTTTCTTTATAAATCCTTTCAACTATAAAATTAATGTATTGAAGATCATTAAATTTTTGCAAAGAATTTTATCAAAAAATTTAAAAATATTTGAATTCTTTCCAAAATTTGTATTAAAAATTAATATAAATAATTGAATTCTTACCAAGAATTTTATTAAAACTCTTAAAAATCCTAATTATATTCTTTTAAAGAATTTCTTTATGTTTTTTGAAAATAATGTAGTTTTTTATAATAATTTTGAAAATAATTGAATTAATAAAAGAATTTTTTTGTTTCAAAGAATTTTAATATTTATGAAAATATTTGAATTCTTTCGAAGAATTTTATTAAATATTTTGAATTTAAATACTTTTAAAGAATTTCTATGAATTTTTTTATAATAATGGAGTTTCTTTAATAATTTTAATTGAAAATTGTGAAAGTAATTGAATTATATGAAGGATTTTTTACATATTTTTAAAATAATTGTGCTTGTTAATAATTGAAATTAAACATTTGGTTATTGAATTTTATTAAAATTGTATTGAAAACAATTGAATTCCTAAAAAGAGTTTTTGTAAAAATAATTTAATTCATTGGAAGAATTTTGCTATTTATGAAAATAATTAAATTGTTTCGAAGGATTTATTAAATTTTTACAAAAGAATTGAAACTTTTACGTGAAATTTTATTAAAATTGTATTGAAATTAATTGAAATCGATACTGTAGTAAAGTTAAATTAATTTTGATGTTTAATTAAAATTATCAATTTCGAATTCAAATTTTTTTAAAACTTAAATTTGAAACCCTCTGAAATTTAATTATTTACAAAAATTGTAAACACAACTCTAGTAATTTAAATAGTGTTTGGAATTTATGTAAAATAATGAAATATTCAAGTACAATATTTAAATTGAAATTCAATTTTTCTAACACTTCTATTGCAAACCTTTTAAAATTTTTAATTAAAATTATCAAATTTTTAAAAAATTTTAATTTTAAAATTATTTATAAAAATCTTAAACGCAATTCTAGTAAAATTTAATTAATTTTGACATTTTTGAAGTAAAATTATTCATTAAATAATAATTTTATAATTATTCTTCAAGAATTAAATTATTAAAAAGAAATTCAATAGAAAAAATTGAAGACTTTTATTAAAATTTGTTTTGATCACAAAATTTATAAGCCAAAAAAAATTCAAGAAGAATTAAATCTTCAATTCAATTTCATAGAATAAATTGAAGATTGTCATTAAAATTGGTTTGAACTTCAAGGTTTATAAGCCAAAAAAGAAAAAATTCAGAATTTTCCTATTAATGCTAAAAATTTGATATTTTCCCCGTATTTTAAAAAAATTTTCCTGACTTTTCCCTGACCAATTTTATATTTTTTTCCTTTTTTGATGAATTCGATGATTTTCCTGATCTGTAGAAACGCTGCAATTATGGAAAAGAAATTAGAGACGATTGTCAGGGTGTTTAATAAGGATTGAGAAAAAAATCCCCCGACTTTTTAATAACCTTATTTCTGCTTTTCTGGGATAAAAATATGGTTACTGACACAAAATTTATATAAAATCTTAATTTTTGTATAAATTTATAGAAATTTCCCTGACTTTGAATAAAATTCTCAGACCGTTAGAATCCCTGCGGATTTTTCTCTAAAAATCTCTGGTAATCCTGCAAGTATGAAAAAGAAATTAGAGATAATAATAGAATTTCAATTTACCTTGAGAGAGGATTTTTCGCTCGTTTCCTCTTGACTTGCGAGGCAGTTGGAATAGGCGTCGCGGACTCGCTGCCAAAGGTCCGTTTCAGCAATTCAGCGCCAGTGGTGAATAATCCAAAAGACAGTGACGAACTGGTGGGCGAAGGCGACGCAGACCTCGAGTGTGTGGGACTGCCATCGGGACTGTTGCAAGGCGTTGCTGTCGGCGAGAAATTCTTATCCTCATTGGGCGTTGCGACGCACGACGGTGTCACAGCTTTGATTCCCCGCTCGTTGAGCATCTTGGCGAGACTGAGGGTCGTCGAGAATGTCGAAGTGGAATTACGCCGACTGAGAGTCCTCGGAGTGTTCATTCCCGAATTGACGGTACTGTCGGGCGCGCTGGCAACGCGGCTGCCAACAACGCTCGCCGTCACACTCGTGTGATCGTCAGGATGCAAAACTGTGCTATTCGTGTAGGTGTAAACGGATCCAGTGTCCTGGAAGAGTTTCCCTGGATTCGCGTACTCCTCGTCCTCCTCGACGTCGGTCAGTGTATAGGTCTCGAGTCCCAGGTCCTCAAGTCGTCGACCGCCGCGCGTCTTCACTCCGGGACGTTCCTCGAGTAAGCCACCGAGTGTGGGTGTCGCCAATTGGGACCAATGATGAAGAGTCTGCGAACCTTCCATGGGCTTGACGATCTGCAATTTCTCCGGAAGTCGCCAGCCACCGGCGCTGTTGCCGCTGAAGCCGCTGAGATTCCCGCTACTTCCGGTTGACATTATGCTGTCAGGCGTTCGACAGCCGAACGGAAGGAAATTCGGCGGCGAATGAACACCACCGTCATAGTCGTAGGTGTAACCAGTCCCAGTGCTTAGGCACGCACGTCTTGCAATTACTTCCGCGGGTGTCAAACGACGCAGCGCTGCTTCCAGGTCGGCTGCTCCTGGTGCTCCCGGCACGCCCGGAAGTTGAGGTCCCCTAGGGTGAAAATTAATTCTTGACCTGATTGTCAATTTTCACCATTTTAATTCATTTGAAATAAAAAAGTAAATAAAATAAAATAATAAAAATTGATAAAATAGGATTGCCAAAAAAATTAAATTTTGTTATTCCCTGATTTCCATACAAGAGTTTGACTTTTTTCCTGACCCTAAAGTCCCTAAAGAATATTCTGATTCGCTCCAAAAATTATTAGATACTCAAAAAAATGTTCTGTCACTTTACGAATTTCTTCAATTATAAAATTATTCGAAAAAAACAATAAGTTCCTTTTTAAATACATTTAATTATTATTTTTCCATAAGAATTAAAATTCTTTAAAAGATTAAAATTCAAATCTTTTTGAAATTCAACAATTTGTAAGAATATTATATTATAAAACAAGAAGACAACAATCACTTCGAGTCTTCGACTCGGAATTATCGATTTCTTCATGTTTTATAATTAATAAACAATGATTGAGTGATAAAATAATTATTATTATATTATAACAATATTGTTACTCTAACTTTCTTCAAAATTATTTTCATAATTTCCATTCAATTATTATTTTCTCGAATTTTTAACGGAAATTCTTTTTTATATAGGTAAATTATTTTTAATCATTTTTGAAAAAGTTCTTCGAGAATTTTCAAATCCATTTGTTTACAATACAATTTTACGAAATTTTTAATATTCGTAAATTGTTCAATTAAATATTTAATATTCAATAATTATCTAAAATTTTAATTAAAATTAATTTTTGAATAAATTTTTATTAGAAAAATCTACGAGATTTCAATCATTTAAACACAAAAATAATAGTAATTGAATGTTTCTTAAAATTAAAATCTACTAAAGAATTTTATCAACAAATTTTTAAATAATTAAATTCTTCTGATGAATTTTAATAAAATTTTTAAGAATAATTACATTTTTCGAGAAATTTGATGAAAATTGTATTAAAAATAATTGGAATTCTGCGATGAATTTTATTGTTTATGAAAATAATTGAAATCCTGTAACCGATTTTATTAAAAATGTTTTAAAATATTTGAATTTTTGCTAACATTTTGTTATTTATGAAAATAATTGAATTCTTGTCAAGGATGTTAACATTTTTTACAATAATCAAATTACTGCGAAGAATTTTATTATTTATAAATATATTTGAATTCTTTATGAAAATTTTACTATTCTATAAAAATAATTAAATTTTTTCGAAGAAATTTTTTTTTGAAAATAATTGAATTCTTGCAAAGAATTTTGTTATTTATGAAAATAATTTAATTCTTGCCAAGAATTTTATCGTAAAATTTGAAAATAATTGAATTCCTTGAAGAATTTTGTTATTTATGAAAATAATTAAATTCTTGCAAAGAATTTTATTAAAAAGTTGTAATAATAATTAAATTTCTTCGAAGAATTTTGTTATTTATAAAAATAATTGAACTATTCTGAAGTTATTTTATTTTATATTCATTTTAAAATTAAAATGTTAGAAAATAATATAATTTCAGAGAAGAATTTTATTATTTATAAAGATAATTGAAATTTTTACGAGATTTTTGGAAAGTTTTTGAACATAATTGAATGTTTGCGAAGAATTCTATTACTTTTGAAAATAATTGAATTTCTGCAATCATTTGTAACTTCTCCAAAATTCAATTCTTTTTAGTGCTTTTAACTAAAAATTCTTCTATAAAACCATTATTTTTAATAATTAATGAAATTCTTTTAATAAAATTTGACTAATTTCAGAAGAATTTGAATAATCAATTCAATTTTTTTCCAGTATTTTAACAAAAATTCTTGATCTTTCCCTGATTTCCCAGACCTGTGGCAATCCTGATAAAATTAAATAAATAAAATAAATATTCTGAAAAATGTATCAAATAAATAAAAATTACCAAAAATGTATGAAATACATAAAAAAAACATAAAAAATTACGAAAAAATTTACAAAATAGATAAAAATTATTAAGAAAAATAGAAAACTATTGTCAAAATAGTAAAACAACTCTGCATTTGTTTTTTTCCGATTGGATTTAAACTTACGGATATTCCTCCGAGTCAGTAATAAGTGAACCCTCACTATCGCTGTGTCCAGTAGAATCTAAACTGACAAAAGTTGAAGCACCAGGCATTCCACGCGATCGTCCTCGCATTTGAGGACCAAGACTCATCCTCGGTCCGGAAGAGCCAGTCGAAAGGGTGGAAGTTGTCATCGAACCAAGTCGCGGAAATTGTTGACTTTCACTTACACTAAACGAGGTTCTCGAGGCACTGCGAACCGTCTCAAATACTTTCTTGTACGTCGGTCTACAAAACAAAACAAAAAATATCACCTTTACTTTTAAATAAAAACATTTGTCTAAACAAATTTTTTTTTCATTTTAGCCATTTGATATTTTTCCAGTAACTTCTGGATAAAATTCTCTAACATTACCCAGACTCTTAGCAAACTTACTTTGTTCTGTTAAGAAAAAAATACTCACAATCTATCTGCACTTATTCCAGAATCCAAACTCGATTCAGAATAAAGTGAAGACTCGAGTTCCGAGGCAATGGAATCAGGTTGAGGATGAGCCACTAAAGACGGATAGAGTGATCCACCTCGAACAGTTGGCATTGAGCGCTTCCTCTGTTTCTTGAGTTGCTCCTGAGTTTCCGCCAACAAGTTAACAACCTAATAAAGAAAAAGTAGAATTAGATATAATTAAATTGAAAATTCTTCTTCAGGCGCAAAGAGAGGAAGAAAAAGAAATTGTTACCTCTGCATAACGGTCTTTAAACTCGGCGAGTTCACTAGCCAATGTATTCTGATTGTCCCTGGTTATAACTAGAGTTGTTCCGATTTCATCGTGCTCGGCCATCAATCGAGCAAGTCGTAATTCCGTCTCTGATAGTTTCGCGGTCAAACTCACTATTTGCTCGTGTTGAAGCCGGTTTTCCTCCTTCTGTCGGCCCAACTCCTCGGCAATCCCGTCTACCTCCATATTTGCATTTGCTGCTCAAACAGAAACAATTATTTCATTAATCTAATTACTTTTCTTCGAATAAAAAAAATTCCCTAATAACATAATTAACTTCTTCTTCTTCTAATTAACTTCTTCTTCTTCTTCTTCTTCTTCTTCTTCTTCTTCTTCTTCTTCTTCTAATTAACTTCTTTTCATTATAATTAATGCAGACTTCGCACTCGATAATTAATTTTAAAAAAGTAGCAAAAAGTAGTAAAAAAGTCGCTACCGAAAAATTAAACTTGACAATAAAAAAAAACTCGTTTTAGACACTTAACAAAATTTACAAAAATTCTATTCTATGCATTATTTTCCTGACTTTTTCCTAATTTTCACCAAAAATATATTTACTTCTTTCTTATCCTGCTGATAAATTGAATTCCGGCAACGAATTTTATTATTCATGAAAGAATTTAAATATTTATAAAAATAATTTAATTCTTGCGAAAAATTTTATTATTATTCATGAAAAAAATTGAATTCTTACGAAGATTTTTACAAAAATTTTTTTAAATAATTGAATTCTATTTGGAAAATTTATGAAAATAGTAGATATTAAAAATCATTGAATTGAGAAAAGTTTTTAAAAAATAATTAAATTTTACAAAGAATTTAATTAAAATTTTTGACAATAATTGAATTCTTGCGAACGATTTTATTAGAATTTTTTAAAATAATTGAACTTACAAGAATAAATTTATTACTTTTCAAAATAATTGAATTCTTGTGATGAATATTGATATTTATGAAAATAATTTAATTTTGCAAAGAATTTAATTAAATTGCCTCAAAATAATTGAATTTTCGGAAATAATTTTGCTAATTATCTTTAATAATTGAATTCTTTCGAGGAATTATTTATGTAAATAATTGAATTCTTGTAAAGAATTTTATTAAAATCTAAAAGAAAATTCAAAATCACCTTAGTTATTAATTAATCTCCACCCTTTGGTAAAAAATCTAAAATTATCAAAAATTCAAAGAACCGAATTTCTTAGAATTCAACATTTTTTCTTCTCTTTTATGTCATTTAGCTTCATTATTTTGGGGCTCTTCAAAAACACTTTACTTATTAATTAATCTCCACCCTTTGTTAAAAAATCTAAAATTATGAAAAAATTATGAAAAAAAAAAAAATTATGAAAAATTATATAAAAATTATGAAAAATTCAAAAAACCGAATTTCTTAGAATTCAACATTTTTTCTTCTCTTTTATGGTATTTAGCTTCATTATTTTTGGGCTCTTCAAAAACACTTTACTTATTAATTAATCTCCACCCTTTGGTAAAAAATCTAAAATTATAAAAAATTATCAAAAATTCGAAAAACCGAATTTCTTAAAATTCAACATTTTTTCTTCTCTTTAGTGTCATTTAGCTTCAATATTTTTGTGTTCTTCAAAAACACTTTACTTAATTAATAGTCTTCACCCTTTAGTAAAAAATTTAAAATGATTAAGAATTGGAAAAACCGAATTTCTTAAAATTCAACATTTTTTTTTCTTTTTTATGGCATTTAGCTTCATTATTTTTGGGCTACATTTGTTGAGTAATTCCTCTAAAATAGTATTAAAAATATTTGAAATCCTGCAATGAATTTTATTATTTATGAAAATAATTGAATAGTTAATAAGAATTTTATTAAATTTTTTAAAAATAATTGAATTTTTTTAGAAGAATTTTATTATTTATAAAAATATACTTTAGAAAAAAATTGAATATCTGTGAAAAATTTTGTTATTTTTGAAAATAATTGAATTCTTCGTAAGAATTTTATAAACTTTGTTATAATTTATTTTTTCGAAGTATATTAGAATAAATATTATGAAAATTTTATTTTAATTTTTTTAATTCTTGTGGAAAACTTTATTTGTGAAAATAATTGAATCATTTTAAAGAATTTGATTATAATTCTAGAAAATAGTTTTTTAATTTCTGGTATTAGCGAATTTAAAGTAGTGAAAATTCTAAAAAGAAAACAGAAATAGTAGCTTTTAGTGGCTGAAATCTAAAAAAAGTATCTAAATAGTAGCATAACGTAAAAAAAGTAGTAAATAGGTTTTAGTAGACGAGTGCGAAGCCTGTTAATAAGAATAGAATTGGAAAGAAGTTCTTTTTTCTCATTTATATAATATATATATATAAAAAAATACAAAGAAAGACAAAAATGAGTAAAATAATAAAAAGCAGCAAAAAATAATTACCAAGTTGATTAGCGATATCTTTGACGAGACGCGCCTCCTGCTCCTCACAACTGTCAGCTTCTTTAACAAGTTTTGTGAATTCGCATTTCAACGATTTATTTTCATCCTCGAGTGTAGTTATCTTACGTTGCATGACATCCAAATTGATGCCCTGCAATCCTGAGGGTGTCGCAGCTTCCGAACCCGAATCATCCACATCATTAGTTAATATTTGTATCAATTCGGTTTTCTTCGACGACTCGTGCGTCAATTGCGTAATTTTTTCATTTGCCGTTTTAAGTTCAGCTTCTAGGGCATTGACAGTGCTCTCAAGTTTTTGATTGTGCGTCAACAGCTCCTTGCCAATTCGTGCTGTCAACTCCAAGTCTTTCTCTTTCTGTAAAATAAAAAATTTAATTTAATTAAACAAAAATTAGAATTAGATTAAAATTTTACAGGGTTGCCACAAAAATTTAGTTTTTTTTCCCTGATTTTCAGATAAAATTTTGACTTTTTTTTAATAATTAAATTCGTTTGGAAAATTTTATTAAAATAATAAATATTGAAAAACATTGAATTAGGAAAAATTATTTAAAATAATTGAAATTTTTGCCAAGAATTTTATTAAAATTTTTGAAAATAATTGAATTTCGGCGTAGTATTTTATTAAAATTCCTGAAAATAATATAATTTCTAGAAAGAATTTTGATATCTATATAATATATAATAAAAAATTCAACTAATTGCAACAAAATTAAAATTAAATTTTTTCAAAAATCTTAGTTCTTTAAAATTTCTAATTAAATTCATTAAAAATTAAAATATTCGAAATTTTAAAATTAAAATGTTTTGAAATTCATTTATTTATGAAAATTGTAAACGCAACTTTTATAAAATTCAATTATTGTTGAAATTTTCAAGTAAAATTATTCATTAAATAATTTATAATAATTTTATCTATGATATTTGATACTTCTATGATATTTCTTCAAGAATTAAGTTATTTAAAATAAAATTTTTGTCAGAAATAGAAAAAATTGAAGGTTTTGTATTAGAATTCGTGGTAAATTCATAGTTTATGAGGCAAACAAAAAAGAAACAAAAATTCAAAATTTTCTTATGAATTCTGAAAATTTAATTTTTGTCTAAAACTTGTAATAAAATTCCCTGACATCTCTTTGATTTCCTTGACCTGTTGTAACCCTGTTTTAATTTTTAAGAAAACTAAAAATTGTAATTACAAAAAAAAACTCCAAAAACAAATTTATTACCTCCTCCAAAAGCCTTGTTACTGCCTCGATATCATTGTAGGTTTTGGTCATTTGGCTCACCCGATTGCTGCATAAGACTGAAAACAAAAATCAAACATTTATTATCATTGTCGATATTATTATCATTAAAAAAAGAAAATTGTAATCCTGTACGATAAGAAAATTTCCGATTGCTATAAATGATTATAAGGAAATTTATACTACGTAAATATATAATATATGAAATTCGAAGATTTGTGGTAATCGATCAAACAAAAACTTTTCTAGCCGCATTTGTTCTGTCTTGTCCTAGAATTTTCAGTGTGACCTTCAATTTAATTTTAGTCCTTTAAATTATTAATTCAAAATTAATTAATCAAATTTATAAATTAAAAAACAAACCTCTGTATATTCTTTAAATAAAAAGTAATTCCAAATCTGATAAGAAAAAAATCACAAAATTTATCTTTGTCGATGATTAAGAAATTTATTCCTTTTTGTTTTGGTTATTATTAATTAATTTAACGATAATTGACACAAATATTTATTTCACCGAGTAATTAATTTTTAATCGATTGATTAACAAAATATGTAGGTAAATATAAAACACAAAATAAAACTTGTAATTTGAATTTGAAAATTGGAGAAATAAAAAATAAAACGAAAATAATTATTACAAGACTAAATTTTCTTCAAAAATAAATAAAAATACTTTTAAAAACCTAAATAAAGAAATAAAATAATTGCGAATCATAGAAAAAAAGTATATTTTTTTTGTTCTAAAATTGAGTCGAAAAACATACTTTCTGAAGTGTATTTAACGTCTCTGGTTAAAAGGCTAGAATAAATGTGGGGCTCAAAGAAAAAGTGGTATAAAATAACAGTGCGAGCAAAAGTGAGTTAACTTTTCTGACGGGTAAGAATGGGCCAGATGAATGCTGCGAGGAAAAACAGAATTTCTTTCGAGCGCGAGCAAAAGCGGGCTAAATGGCTATCCCATTTTTGCTCTTAGTCAAAAGTTGATCCGCTTTTGCTCGCACCGTGAAGTCTATAGTAATGTCGAGATACGAGCCGTCGCTACATTTTGACAATTTGACGTTTGATTCCATTTCGTTTATTTTACTTTTATTTAATTGTTTCAATGTGTGAATAATAAAATAAGAATAAATAATAAAAATAATAATAATAATGTGTGAATATTGATAGAATATTCCTTTAAAGTGAACAGAATATTTCTTCCAAAACTTATTTTAAATATTTTGTTGTTGTTGAAAAATTTGTTAGTTACATTAAAAATATGATCATGTTATTTATTTATTTATTTATATGTAGATAAATAATTTCCTAATATTTTTCAAGTTTTTAACATGCTAATTTTTACTGGAAAACTTTTTCATTTTTCTCGAACATTTTTCTCGAAAAATTATTTTCAAAAGGTTGTTAAATAATAAATTTTAATAATTGAAATTAACAAAAAATTTCAAGTCAAAATTACTAAACATTATAACTCTATTTCTTCCAAAGTTCAATTATTAAAATTTTTTTAATAAAAGTTTAGTTTCATAAGTCAATTTCAATTATTGTAATAAAATTTTTTAGAAATTCAATTATGTTTAAAAAATCTCGCATTAAAAATTCCTTAAAATGTAATTACTGACCTAAATTTGTGAAAAAAAGTAAGTATTTCAAATATACAAAAATTTGTATTTCAAATTTCCTACATTTATATTATTTACAAACTTTTTAACAAAAATTATATTTCAAATTAATTATTTTCAAAAAATTATAGTATGAAATTTAAGGCAAATTTTTAGCAATTAAAATTTACAAATATTCGTAGTTTAATTTTTCTAAAATTCAATTTTTATTAAATATACATTAGAATTTAGATTGAAATTTTAAATAATTAAATTTTAATGTGCCTGAAGTTGCCATCGATGCTCAGCATCGAAATTTTTTTTTCATCAGACAATCAATTTTTTTGCATTTTCGTACTCAAGTAGGTACCCAATAAATACCTAATAAGTTTCGTCCTATTATCGATAGGGGAAAGTTGTCAAATCAACCCCTAAATTTAAAAAAATAAAAAAAAATAGGAAAAAATTGTTATTTAAAAACTAATAACGAGACCATAAATTTTATTGCATAAAATGCATTCACTCGATGCCCAATGAATACAAAAAAATTTTGACCCGCAAGTCGATAGGGAAAAGTTGTCATTTTCAACCCTTAATATTTAAAAAATCGAAAAAAAATTACAAAAAAATTTATTAAAATTGCAGTTATCCTTTGACCAGCGATTTTCTTTTTGTTTATTGTTTCTACATACTCCACTAATAATGAAAAATAATTTCAGAAAAATCGCCGCCCGGAAAACTTGACTTTTTTGCCCGTAAAAATTAAAAAATTGAAAAAAAATTAGAAAAAAATTTGTGAAAATTACAATTATCTTTTGACCAGGGATTTTCTTTTTGTTTATTGCTTCTACATACTCCACTAATAAGTAAAAATAATTTCAGAAAAATTGCCGCCCGGAAAACTTGATTTTTCTGCCCGTAAAAATTAAAAAATTGAAAAAAAATTAGAAAAAAATTTGTGAAAATTACAATTATCTGTTGACCAGGGATTTTCTTTTTGTTTATTGCTTCTACATACTCTACTAATAAGTAAAAATAATTTCAGAAAAATTGCCGCCCGGAAAACTTGATTTTTCTGCCCGTAAAAATTAAAAAAAAATTAGAAAAAAATTTGTGAAAATTACAATTATCTTTTGACCAGGGATTTTCTTTTTGTTTATTGCTTCTACATACTCCACTAATAAGTAAAAATAATTTCAGAAAAATCTATTTTTCAATTATTATTGTTTACAACAATTTAAAAAAATTATTATATGTTTTATTAATTGCCTAGTGGTCTGCTTGGATTATCTTGAACTGATTTAAATCATGTGCAGTAACGGAATAAGAAATAAAAGTCCATTTTAAAAAATTGTATTAATTTGTTAACTTTGATTAAACTAAAAAATTATAAACAATTAAAATCTCAAAAATCAGTCTCAAGGGATGTCATAAGAATTTATTCCCCTTTAATTTAAATACAAGATCACTCAAATCGTTTAAAAATTGTAGGCTGAAGACATTTTTGAAAAGTAAATTGTAAAAAAATCCCACTGTGTGTAGGACCAAAATGTCATTTGGTAGTCCCTATTCGATTTTCGTTCTTTGTGCTAAACGTGGAAAGCAACGTAGCGAGTCTTTAAATCTCAAGGTAAGCCGAAAATTGCCGAACGCACCAGAGCTAGGACCCAACAGGCAAACACTCAAGTTCGCGGAGAGAACAGGCGACGTTGAGAGTTTGTGTTGGAGAATTACTTCGGGTGTATTCGGGTAATCTCGTCTTCCCGTAGGATTTAAAGTATCGCTGCATTGGCCGAGCACTGAACGAATGCCAAAAGAAGACACGATAAATAAAAATCTCCCCTTGAATTGCACAATTCGGACAAATGGCAACTGTGATTTTAACAATTTTTGTTCTTATTTTTTTGAGTTTTACTAATATTTACGGGCAAAAAGTAAAACTTTCCGGAAGGCAATTTTTTTAAAATTATGTACACATATTAGAGGAATATGTAGAAGTAATAACAAAGAAGAAAAAATCCCTGGTCAAAAAACAACTGTAATTTTTACATTTTTTTTTTAATTTTTTAATTTTTTCATTTTTACGGGCAAAAAATCAAAGTTTCCGGTCGACGAATTTTTTGAAATTTTGTTGATACATTAGGAAAATATGTAGAAGTAAGAAACAAGAAGAAAATCTCTCGTCAAAAGAAATTTGTAATTTTCACCATTTTTTTACCTATTTTTTCTTAATTTTTTTGTTTTTACGGGCAAAAAAGTCAAAGTTTCCGGGCGACAATTTTTTTGAAATTGTGTAGATACATTAGGGGAATGTGTAGAAGTAAGAAGAGGAAGAAAATCTCTGGTCAAAAGACATCTGTAATTTTTACAATTTTTTTCTTATTTTTTTTTGTTTTTATGGTCAAAAAAATCAAGTATTCCGGTCGGCGATTTTTCTGAAATTATTTTTATTTATCATTGGAGTATGTAGAAGCAATAAACAAAAAAAAAAATCCCTGGTCAAAAGATAATTGTAATTTTCACAAATTTTTTTCTAATTTTTTTTTAATTTTTACGGGCAGAAAAATCAAGTTTTCCGGGCGGCAATTTTTCTGAAATTATTTTTACTTATTAGTAGAGTATGTAGAAGCAATAAACAAAAAGAAAATCCCTGGTCAACAGATAATTGTAATTTTCACAAATTTTTTTCTAATTTTTTTTCAATTTTTTAATTTTTACGGGCAGAAAAATCAAGTTTTCCGGGCGGCGATTTTCCTGAAATTATTTTTACTTATTAGTGGAGTATGTAGAAGCAATAAACAAAAAGAAAATCCCTGGTCAAAGGATAATTGTAATTTTCACAAATTTTTTTCTAACTTTTTTTTCAATTTTTTAATTTTTACGGGCAAAAAAGTCAAGTTTTCCGGGCGGCGATTTTTCTGAAATTATTTTTACTTATTAGTGGAGTATGTAGAAACAATAAACAAAAAGAAAATCGCTGGTCAAAGGATAACTGCAATTTTAATAAAGTTTTTTGTAATTTTTTTTCGATTTTTTAAATATTAAGGGTTGAAAATGACAACTTTCCCCTATCGATTTGGGGGTCAAAATTTTTTTGTATTGATTGGGCATCGAGTGAATGAATTTTATGCAATAAAATTTATGGTCTCGTTATTAGTTTTTAAATAACAATTTTTTCCTATTTTTTTTTATTTTTTTAAATTTAGGGGTTGATTTAACAACTTTCCCCTATCGATAATAGGACGAAACTTATTAGGTATTTATTGGGTACCTACTTGAATAGGAAAATGCAAAAAAATTGATGGTCTGCTGAAAAAAAATTTTCGATTCTTGTCTGATTGTAAAGTAATTGAATTTATATTTAAATACCTAAAACTTGAAATAATTATATTATTCTTAAATTAAAATTTTAAAAAATTGAATTTGTTAATTAATTTTGAAATAATATCATTATAAGTATT